CCTCTCTCTCCAACCCTTCTTCCTCCTCCCTCTCTTTCTCTCCCCCTTCCCCGTCTGCATCCGAGGAGGCTGGAGATGAGAGTGGTGACGGCGGCGGGCGGGCGAGGGCGTAGACGATGAGGAAGCGAAGAGGAGGTTGGCAGCGACGCCCGCGAGACGACAAGGAGGCGGTTGGGGACGGGGCAGTTGCGGAGGAGGTCCGGGTCATCGGGCGCGGAGCCGGAGTCCGGGTCATCATTGGAGAGATGGCGGCGAGGAAGTGGCCCGACTCATGACGAGGACGATGGCGGCAGAGGCGATGGACTTGACGCTGGCGAGGAGATCGAACGGGGCGGCGGAGACGGAGATGGGCCTGTGTCACGCCCAGAAATTCACGAACTAGAATTTCTAAGCTGAATATGTATTAAACCCCTGTCCAGGACCAGCCAGGGTACACAAACGACAATTGTTGACATACAGATCCACGTCTTACGAAAATATAAAAGATTACAAATGCAGCGGAAAAGATAAAACGAGCTAGACTTGGAAACTTGACTTCTGTAGCGGGGCGACTCCACTCCACAGGCAATCCTTGACGTCAGCGAAGAAACCAACTTCGACAAGACAGCTCCCACTAGGAAGATCTTCAGCTCTGGTGTGGGGGAAAAAGAGCAAGGTTGAGTACTACCCACTGTACTCAGCAAGTCATACCGGGAGAGGAGGTATGATGCAGGATATATCCAAAGGAGGCTAAAGACTCATTTGCATAAAGCTAGCATTTAAAAGCAAAAGTTGAAAGCAGTAAAACAGCTGTAGTGATTTATCAATATTAACCAATCACTGTCCAACGCTACCCACGTTGCAATAGGCCCAAACCACCTCCTGAACTAACCAGTTCCATAAGCTAACTAGGGGTGAGACTAATCACGGTGAATCTGGTCGACCGCCCATAACCGCGGGCACGGCTATTCGAATAGTTTTACTCTGATAAGAGGTGTACAACTGTACCCACAAGACACAGCCCCACGACACGTTCCCGTGCGCCGACATGCCACCACGACATACCGGAAAGAGGCCGTGACAGGACCCTTCGCATAACCCCCTCTAACCGATCGCACCACACCTTAGGGTTTACCCCCGGCCCCAGCAGGCAACAGGCAGCCCCCCTTTCGTGCCGCGGTGAATCCGGAAGCCGATCAACCGGACACCCCGGCCGACCCAACTCCATCATGCCCACCCTCGCCTGGGTACGTCGGCTAGAGAAAAGCTACACTACAAACCCATTCGTTGCCCACGTTGGCTTATGGTAAGTACGGTAAGTTCTTCCAGGGCATCCCGCGAACCGGTTCTTAATCGCCATGGGCATGACTAACAAAACCATGCACCCACAACCCACCATGTAGTGTATTTTAATTAACCAACACCATTACGGTGGCACTAAACCAAAGCTATGCCAATAATCAAAGTCTATGCTTTAATGTGATCCCCTTTTGTGCACTAGTTGAACTAAGCATGGCTAAGCATCTCCTAAACCAACATCTAGTCATTTTAATACCCAAGTTATCAATGGCGTAAGGGAAACAACATATAGTTGAGTAATAGGACCTATCCCACATGATATTGTAAAACAATGCAATATTTAATAGAAATGCGGGACATTTGTAAATTGGGTATAATATGATCAATTGTAATGTATGACTTGCCTTGCTCTCGCACTGATGAGACCACAGCAACTTCTTCGAGAAACCGTGGATCGACGAAACGGCCGAAATCTACGCGACAGACAAAGCACACAAGCAAAACAGGCTATAAGACTACTGAAACAGGAAACAAAACCATTTTTAATGGATTCTATGCATTTTTATGAATTTACTGATACTTGAATGGACTTAATCGGAGCTCGAATGAATTAGTTATGATTTTTAGAAGATCCTCTATGTTTTTACTATTAAAGAAAAGCTTTAATGTATTTATTGCGCAATATTGCCCCAGGGCTGACATCAGCAAGGGAGGGGGCGCCGACATGCGGGCCCCACTCGGCAGCGGCTCAAGGGGCCGGTCCACCATGGACTGGGACCACGCGGGTGGTCCACCGCCGGTCCACGGGACCGACGGCCCGGATCGGCCCGGGGCCGATCGGACGGTGCAGGCGGTGGCCTGGCACGGCTCGGCTCGGCACAAAGCCGGCCGACCGGCCATGGGGTGCGGCGGCGGCGCACGCGACCACCGGCGACGGCAAGCGGCGGCGCGAGCGGCGGCGATGGATGGCGCACAGGTCGACGGCGGCGGCCGAAGGTGATGGCAAGCGCGCGGAGAGCGGCGGCGCGAGCGGGGAAAGGTGGGAAGGAGGGAGGAGAGGGGCTCCTCACCGGAGGGCGGCGACCGGAGCGGGGATGAAGGTGGCGGCGACGACCCGACGACGAGGAGGGGCGGATGGGCGGCGGCGGCACCTAAGGAGGGAGAGGAGAGGGGTTAGGGGATTGAAGGAAACCCGCGGCGACAAAAATGGCCGGCCGGAGTTGAAGGGAATGGAGGGGCTCACCGACGTGCGAGGAAACCGGAGCTCCCGAGGGGTTCGGGCGATGTGAGGCGGTGACCGAGGTGCTCCAAGCGGCGGCGAAGCTAACGGCGGCAGCGGCTTGGCGTGGTGGTGGCTCCAGCGGCGGCGGCGCGCAGCTGGAGGCGGCGGCGAGCGGCGGCGCGGCGGCGAGCGGCGCGAGCTCGGTAGGAGTCACGGGAGGGAGCAGCGAGAGCGGAAAGGGGAAGAGGAGGGCACGGGGAACGTTTTATAGGCGGAGGGGGAGGCGGACGTGGCCGGGAGGACCTCCGATTTCGCCGGCGACGTGGGGAGGAGAGAGAGGAAATGGGGGGATTCAAAATGCGTATCCCGCCCCTTTTCGGGCGCACGCGCGGGCCGGGAGACGCGGGGAGAGGGTGGCGTCGCGGGGAAGACGCGTGGGGTGACGCGGCGTGGGCGCGGGAGGAGCGGCGGAGGTGGGCGCGGCGGTTTCGGCGGTGGTTGCCGACGTGGGGCGGGCGGCCGGAGGAAGGGGACAACCCCGACAGTTGGGGCCCACCTGTCGGCGTCTCGAGGAGAGAGGGAGGGGCGGCTTGGGCCGGCCCACAAGGAGGAGGGCGCGCGCGGCGGCGGGGTGGACTGGGCCGACGGCCCAAGAAGAGGAAAAGGAGGGAAAAGAAAAAGAAAAGGAGGAAAAGATTTTCCCTGGGATTTAAAGATTGCACTTTGCTTATTTTAATTGGTTAAAATTATTTCGAGAGCTCTGAAAATTCCACTAAAAATCTTGTTAATGTATTGGAGCATGGGGAACTCAAGAAAAATTCCACCACGCCGAATTTGATTATTAAATGCATTTATTAATTAAGGATTCAACTTTAGGTTAATTCAACAATTTCTTTAGGCGATTTATTTAACAAATTTTAAAGCTGGAAAGGGGAACTTCAGGGCGTGACAGCCTGGAGGAGGGGTGGCAGGTGTCGCCTGTGCCGCTCGCTGCCGTCTCCGCTTCCCTGACATGTCGTCCCCACAGCCACAGTGGCCGCCAGATCGGGGAGTCATCCTATCCGATTTTCTGGTTGAAAGGTATGAATTAGATTTGGCCTACTTTTAAGCGAGCCATAGTGTTCTTTTTCCAAACCCAAAAAGGAGATCCAATCAAACAGAGCAAATCATTGCCGCCATTCGTCAAGGCCTCGGCCCTTGGGCAACCAACTCCGATGCCATGCCACCCCCGCCGTCCATGTCGGCATGTTGGCGGCGGCAGCGGCAACGCAGCATCTGGAGTCCTTCCTCCCACACCTGGCCTCCCTCCCCTACTACAAGCAGTTCCACGCGCGCCTCCTCACCTCAGGCCACCTCGGCGCCCACCCGGGCCTCCGCGCCCGCTTCCTCGACTGCCTCGCGCTCTCGCTGCGCTCCCCCATGCGCTGCTCCTCCTCCACTCCCTCCCCGCCCCGGCCACCAACGACCTCAACGCCGCGCTCAGGGGGCTCGCCACCACGCCGCACCCGGCCCGCTCGCTCCTCCTCCTCGCGGGCCGTCTCCCCTCCCCCCCACCCCCCACCCGGCTCCCCCGCAGGAGTTAAGGACTCATATACTCTATTATCAATCAAGATGAATCTAAACTAGTCTGAGTCCTCCCCAATCTACAGTGTCCTCTCATCTCAACTAAGTCGCCACCACCCAGCTCTCCTATTGGGAGTGTTTCTCCCAAAATGAATCATAGACCATAACATCTGGAATCAGGACTGAAAGGGTCAATTAGGCCTAGAGAGGGATGGGGGTTGAATAGGTGATTAAAATTTTTAAGTAAATGCGGAAATGGTACTTTCCGGAAGTTCTGAAATGAGATTTCATAAATTCCGAAAATCATAGAAAAACTGAAAAGCACAAACTCAACTAAATCTAGCAAGGCACAAGTATGGAAAGATTGCACAAACAACGACTAAACTACTAGTAGCACAAAATAGCAAAGCTAGAAGAGTACGGGAGTGATATCACCGAAATTCTTGCAAAACAATGTGTTCCCAAAGTTTGAATCCTTAAGGTATTTAGTCTCTGTTGAGGAGCTCACAAAGAGTTGGATCTTCGCTAACCATTTCCCCTTGAGGTTGCATAATATACTCCTACTTCCACTAGTGATATGTTTGACGATTTCTTGGCCGAACCCGTCAAAAAGCTCATATAGTTATCGGCACTCCGCAAATTGGCCTGGACAAAAGAAAATCCAATGACCCATATTATAATCTAATTATGATGGCTTCATCCGAACTTCAATTACAACAAATATGCAATCTATTTCTCAATTGAAAGCTCTACACATCCAAATGTATCATGATTGTCTATCCGAACAACGTTAGAAACTAAAGTTGAATTTTTGAGATGTTTGTCTAATACTCCCTAAAATTACTTAATGAAGGCGCATAGTATTGCATCGTGTACACTATTTTAAAAGCTCAGAGTATTACAAAATTATACATGTACTACTCTGCACACAAATATAAGCTCATCTCCTGGTACCACGGCACTTTATTCAATAACATAGTTGGAGAATTACAAGACACAGGACTTTTGAAGGGATCATGTGATCAACACACGTGGGATCCCCTAATCTCCGAATGAAAAAGAAGAAAACATAGGACCCCTAACCTTATTGCAACACCACCCAGATTACACCACATGTGAAACTATAACATTGAGGGGTCTTTTACCAATACATATAACAAATTTTGATCCTCACGAACAATTATACTAATAACAAAACCATATTACCAATACATATAACAAATTTTGATCCTCAACAATGATACTAATAACAACACCATGGCATATGTAAGAGCTCATCGTTCCGCTTATGCTTATGCTTATTCAAACCATTTATTAGCAATTACAAAATAATTTGTGAGTAAAACTTTCGTATTTGTGTCCTTAGCTATTCAAAATCAAATACTGTAAAAATAAAATACGATGAAAAACACAAAATTAACTAAAAATTAAAATTTAAAACTTAAATAATTTAAATTATAAGCATAAACATAAACGAAACAATGACACTCTAACGTGGGTAGGTAATGTGAAGCATCATGGGCGGGTGTAGATGCCAATCGCATCCATGAGCACTCCAAAGCGTCCAAAGAAACCAACAACATGGGCACCGCCCTGCAGCGGGACACTGAAGTCTGTTCCACTACGCACACCGAACTCATATGTTGTAATGTCGGTGACAATCTTAAGGTACGTCACAACATCAGCTACAGGTCCAAACTTGCCATGGGTTCCAGAAACTTCTATCACATGCTCCGTAGGGCCTAACATGATCTGCAAGAACAAACGAAGAGTAATTAAATTATTGAGTTGTCATACTTTTGAGTATATATAGACAAAATTTCTTAAAAAAGACGAGCGGTCAAATTTGACTAGTAGTAAATATTAGTATCTAGTGACAAATTAATATTTGAAAACAGAGGGAATAGGAATTTTGTTAAAGGAATTAAATTAATTTGAATGGTGCCTGGCCTCAATAATCACCCAAACAAGTCTAATGGTGATTAAATTTTTGAATGGAGGTATCCTCTGTCCTAAAATAAGTGCAGTTTTACACTGTTCATGTCCAACATTTGACCGTTTATTTTATTTGAAATTTTTTTATGATTAGTATTTTTATTGTTATTAGATGATAAAACATGAATATCACTTTATGTTTAACTATTTTTTTATTTATTTTTATTTTTTTTAATAAGACGGACGGTTAAACGTTGGATACGGATACCCACGGCTGTACTTATCTTGTGATGAAGGTAGTAGTAGTTATTAGGCCAGTTAATTTGGAATATGAGAAGCTTAATTATTCAAGCATTGAGAATTTTGCACTGTACCGTGGTAGCGTGTCCACCGTTACCACCCCATGGGCCCACGACATGCTCCTGTCCGTCAATGCCACTGTAGGAGAAGCTTATGGAATCGATCGCATTTCCGCTACGAATTGTCATGCCGGTGAGTTTGATGGGTGTCACAGTGATGTCCTGAGCTGACCCTCCATATCCACCCCACTGCCCGATCTTCACCAATGCCGGCATATTCTGCGTATATGAGCCAATTCTAAGTAGTAATTAATCAATCCACTCACAAGAGAGGACTAGAAAAATTAATCATTGACTTATTCGGCTAATTCCACCTATAAGGTTATTTAATTAGGGAAGAAGAGGAATAATGTGTGGAATTAATCCCCTCTAATTTCACGCATATGGGATTAACCGAATAAGATCTAAATGTTTAAGATATAGCTATCTACTTCTCCAACAAGCAAATACATGTAATGCAAAACAAGCAGAGGGGCAGAAGCTACACATATATATTGAAGTGCAAAATGTAACTAGACATATATTCATAGTACCGTTTCGTAAGTACTTGACACTTGGAGGAATGATAGCTAGCTTGTTAATTTTGTGATTGTATTGTGCATAAGAGGCCCCTATTTATAGTGCTTGTTTGGTAGACTACTGATCTCGATCATATGAATGTGCATGCATGCGTGCAAATTCAGTTTCCCCTGGCTCTTTTTGATATATACTCTTTTATGTACGTCTATATTAATTGAACTTAGCGCAGTACAAGTACATGTACAGTTTCCATGTGCCCTCAAACGTTTTTTTCACTTATGTAACAAGTAGTAACGTGAGCAGGAAAGCTTTGTTACAAGTAGTAACGTGAACAGGACATGCATGCAAGTATACGTATTAATTGTCAGTAACTTGCGTTAAGCTGGCTAAAGCCCTGTTTATTTCAGCTTTGGATTATTATAATCTAGATTATTAGAGCCTAAATTATTGGGTTTGCAAGTCTAAAGAGGGGGTGGGATGGCATGGTGGGTATTTTTTCACCCAATAATCTAGAAAAAGTTTACCTAAATAAGCTTATCAGATTATAATAAGCTGGATCCAGATTATAATAAGCTACTTCAATAAATTGTCTGTTTCTTTCAGTTTACTCCCAATAATCTGGATTATAATAATCCTAAGCTGAAAGAAACAGGGCCTAACTTGCGTTAATGCCTATGACTTGATTAAGCTCATGGCAATATAGTGTGTTGAGCTGACATTAATTTTCAAGCTCTGGCTGATGGCTTTTAATGTGGAGTATGATCGACTTAGTTAAGCTTATGACAATAGGCTGCTCAACTTGCCACGTTACGTTGCTTTAATTTACCGCATGTTCTTGACATCTAGCTGGCGCACGTAACATTTATTTACAAGACATATGGATATTTAATACTCCTATTTAATACCACCATATGGATATACTCCACAACCTAATTAAGAAACTACTCTTTACCCCAAGCATAATCTATATAGGTGGAACCAAATACTTAATTACCTCATCCCCCTCTCTCTTTCCATTCACTACTTCGTGTATATGCCACCTTGATTTCGATACTATTATTTTAGTTTGGGCGAAGAGTCAAAACGTTCTAGGGTCAATTTAGTCACTGATATTTTTAAATTGTTCAAAATAATTATCGTTTGATTTACATAGTTCTTGAGAAAAAAAATACAGCGTGAACATGCCACATCATCTTCACATGCAAAGTTAACAATTAAATATCCATTCTACCCTTATATGGTTTCTCCCTTTCACCCGCGAAGTGAGCGTAACTCGATAGATTAGTATCCTTATGGTGAAACCAATACACCCAGGTTCAAATCCTGGACTTAATAAGGGTGATCGTATTTACGACTAATTATTCTTTCAGCGGTAGGCGCCATACTCGTCGACGTCGACAACGAGGCACTAGTGGTGACTTCGACAGCTTCAAGATATACCGGCTCAGTTTTCTGGAGGTGGCTTATAGGGTAGGGTGTGCACATATGCGTTTGTAGGGGTCGGTATGCGTGTGTTGTGAGCGTGTGCGCTTGTACCGTGTTTGTAAGAAGAAAAACTTCCTTACCTCGCGCGTCAGATCTAGTATTACATGGCATGTTATTAGTTAGTACCATGGGAAGCATCCGAATCCTCTACCAATTGTTGGTAAGCGGATCCATGTATAGTTTTTGTTTCCTAAGCTCTGTTGCCCTGTTTGGGGCCTGTTTTTGGTTTTGAAAGCATCAATCTTAAGCTGGTATCTATAGCAGTTAAGACCTGACGCAGTTATGCTGGGCGAATTGTCTTCTCCAACGAAAAAAAAAAGAAACCAAAACTTCGATCTGGATTTTTTTTTTACTTCTAAACGAATTGTCTCATTCTTTTTTTATTAAGATATAGATTTTACCTCGATTTTTAATTGCATGTTTTTTAAAATGTTAAACGGCGTATTTCGTGCAAAGGCTTTCTATATATAAATTGCTTTATAATATCAAATATATTCATTTTTTAAATTTGTAATACCGCAATCAGTCATACACTATTATCTTTCTCGTTTTGCATACTCACACTTAATCGAACGGGTTAGCCATTGGCAGTTAGCACTTGGTAGAACATATGAAATTTCACTATGCAAAAGGGAAACCAACCGTTATGGTTTGATTCTTTTCCTCGCAATCTTTCTGAATATTCAATCTTGGCAGCACAAATGAAATTTCGGTAGACAAAGGAATTTAACCATTGGGGTTTGGTCAGTTCCCCCTGAATGCCCAAATGAAAATGCATATATGATACTGTCGTTAGTAGTTCTTGGGTGACTGGAATTGCTTCCATCATACTTCGTCTCATAAAAAAAACAAATCTAATACGTGATACGACACATCATAGTATTGTGTTTAGATTTATAATACTAGTATATGTTCTATTAAGATTCATAGTACTAGAATATATCGTATCCTTTACTAGGATAAAGGGAATAGTACGCATGGTCAAATTGTGATTCCCCATGTTGCTTCCATCATACTGGGTCTGTTTGGTTCCCGGCCAAACATTGCCACGCCTAAGCTTAAGAATTTGTCACAATGGTGGCTAGCCATACTTTGTGGCTAAGGGTCTGTTTGGTTCCCGGCCAAACATTGCCACGCCTAAGCTTAAGAATTTGTCACAATGGTGGCTAGCCATACTTTGTGGCTAAATTAGACTGTTTGGTTTGCAACTAAGGTGTGGCAAAAATATTTTGGGTGCTGTTTGGATTGATGCCACAAATGTTTGGCAAAAATTTGTGGTAGATGTTTGGATTGCAACCACATCTTGATAAAAACACCCAGTGGTAAGATTACCCTCCTCACAAAGCAATCACATTTCAGCAGCAAAATGTATATAAGTAGATTGGAATTAAAGTGCACATATATTGAAATATTAGTCCAGCTAAAGATAACACTCCAGTAACACTAGTTGAGCTATTACAATAATATCAGCAACCATCCAACTAAAACTATTTCAATGACATTTTCTAGCCATTTGTCATGACCACACTGCTAAAATTAGACAACCAACAACTAATACATATATTCTAGCCATCATTCCTTATAACACAAAGCCAAAATGAGTGCACAGCCATACAGAAGTTCATGTGCACATCACACAGACAGTTCGCCAAAAAACTACTTTAACAAGCTATGCTTCACAGGTTAAGCCCATCTTTCTCACATAAGAACTTGAACACCCAAGCATTTAGTGTAGCATCACTCGCATTGCACAACCAACCACGCTTACCTTTATTCTCCTTGTCAGACAAATACTCACCAACAAGAACCCTTTGATCAGGTGTCATTGGGATTGCCTCTAGTTTCTGCCACAGAATTGCATGTGGATCAGTAAGCTGTGGCATTGGTGGAGGAGCTGTGGTAGCAAGTGTTTCTCGAAGTGATTTCATCGTAGTAGCGATTTCATCATTGGACTCGGCAAAGCGACTCTTGCTTTTTTGTGGCTTTTAGTTGGTGATTTGTTGCCTCTTGGACGCTTCTTTTTACCTTGACTACCGCTGGAAGAGTTGTCAACAGTTGCATTCGTGGTTGGAGATGGCAAAGTGTCAGAATCCTCACCAGTTGGCTCTTCAGGTTGTGTGTAGCAGTTGAGGTCAAGCATATCTCTTGAATCATCGCTATTTGAACCATCACTATCGTTCATGCATGTGTTTTGATCCATAGCCAAAGAACCATCGGCACTAGATCCCGTGAATAGCTCCTGCATCTCATTAAAGAATCTGATGGGCTTAGAGAGTAGGCGTCTTGCTCTATCCTGCATAAAGAGCAAACATGTTAAATTGCTATATGCAGTTCAGATTCTAAAATGTAACATGCAAACATGTCAATTTTGTAGAAAACTTACACATAGCGTTGCCTTTTCAGATTCTGAAATAGTCACCAAGAATCTTGTATGGTCAAATGCGTTGCCACTCTTGCTCAATGCTGCTGCAATATACTTCCAATTTTCTTTGTGATACCTGTAGTGACGATCCACTTGATCGGCAGTCACCCCCATACCAAACTTCTTGTTTAAAGCATCAGCACACAACATGTGGTGACTCTTTTTTACCTTAAAACCTGCATGTTGTTTTTTCAAGTATTCCATGTACCACTCTAGCATGAATTTTGTTTGATCCTCATGCCAAGTCAAGGACCTCTCATGAGAGGTTGGAAAAGCATCAGCCTTCGCCTTTCCTTTAGCCATTCTGTTTTCATTCACAAGAGACAGCTCAATACATTAGTTACATAATTTAGAGAACAACTTAAATCTAAGGTACAGTTTGTCCTACTTTATCTTCCCACATCTTTTTAGCCGTATCATCTCTTTTCTTTGCCCATGACAAATTCTCCTGGTGCATATCAGTACGGTTTCTTACACTCCGTGGCAGCGCTGCATACCAAGCAGCATCGTCATACACATAGACATCAGGACCGTCCTCTATAATCCAGTTATGAAGTGCACAACAAGCCATCACAATTTTCACTTGTGTTTTCAAAGGAAAAAATGGTTGGCATTTAAATATTCTGAAGCGGTTCTTCAAGGCACCAAATGCTCGCTCAATAGTTGTTCTAAGAGAGGAATGCCGAAGGTTGAATAACTCCTTTGGGTTCTCTGGTTCTCTAGCGCCCTTATATTCTTTTAGGTGATATCGGGTACCTCGGTATGGGGGTAATACACCAGGTCTAGCTGCATATCCGGCATCAGCTAGGAAATATTTACCTACATATTTTTTGTGCATATTAATTAGCTAAGAACAGAATTGAAGTTTCAGATATGGAGCTATTAGGATATGATGTGAATAATCCTACCTTCTGGTATTTTAAGGCCATTAGTACGTGATAGAGCATCTTGAAGCACATAAGAATCATGGGCAGAACCTTCCCATCCAGCAAGAACATATAAGAACCTTAAGTCAAAATCAACTGCTGCTAGCACATTTTGTGATTGAAATTTCTTTCTACCCCTAAACCGGTCTTGCATATGCATAGGTACACATGCTGGAATATGTGTACCATCCAGGGCTCCTATGCATCCCTACGAAAATAGACAATTTTGTTTAGAACAAATATAGGTGAATATGGCCCTAGACTCTTAGGGTATACTTAAACAGGGATTATCAATTTTGATGTACCTGAAAGTAGGGGTGAAATCTGCCATGAGAGCTTGTTATCTTTTGATGTGTGTCAATGGATTTGATGCATACAAGGTCACGGGCAAGGATACAGAGGGCATCTAAAACAAGATTGAAATACCTACTAACAGTCTCACCCGATCTCATGAATTCAAATGCAATTGGTCTATTTGACCAATTGTGACCCACAACGTGAATAAACATAGCGACTTGTTCCTCTATTGTGACATGAAAAGTCTCCTCTAGCAGGGCACGTGATCTAAGCTCAGCACACAACTTATGGAAGACAACTTTCCTCATACGAAGCTCACTTATGCAATGTGCTTCGGTTCCATGGTATAAACGGTCTAGACGTCTTAATCTTTCAACATCTCTATCAAGCATGGGAGCATATGTAATGGCTCTTTTCCTTTTTCTTCTATTAATCCTATACCAATACATGGTTAGGCACACCAGAATTCCAGCAATCAATCTTCTCCTCCATATATAATGGCAGTAGTCCAAGTAATACTGTAAATACAATTTTCTTTGACCCATCTAAAACATATTTTCAGAAAAAGTATGGAATCAGTAAGAGAAAAAAACTGATAGTTGATATCTATCTATTAAGGTCACTGCAAATACTGTAAGCACACTGTTACTGGTTATCAGTATCAGTAAGAGAAAAAAAACTGATAGTTAATATACTGTAAGCACACTTTGAATATCTTGAAAGCAACAACATGATATGGATATCTATCTATTAAGCTCACTGTTTATCATATATTAGTCAAGAATGAAATCTATCTATTACTGCATACATATGCATAAAACTAATAGTGAAGAACTAGTATATATTAGTTCAGATCCGGTCCACATTCTAGTGCCACACGATTATTCAATCACCATCAATTATACAAGGATGCACATGTGCCTTAGTGCTAATCAGGCAAAAAAAAAAGGCACAGCTAAAGACTTCAGAAATCAACACGAAATCCATCAGATCGATGTCAGTGGAAAAGAGAGAATATTACCTTCCTTTCCGGCTGCGCGGAAGCGTCGTCGCCGCACACAAACGGCAGCTCCTTTCGACCCGCACAGACGCGTTGCTGCACACAAAGAACTTGATGAAGACGCAGCTGCTCCTCAAACACAGAAGTTCTTGTGTCCCTTTAATCAGATCTACACATGAAAAAATTAAGAGATTTAATAGATGTAATGGATCTAGGAGAGGAAGAAGGAAAGAACGCACAACCTACAGGAGAAGGTAGCTAATCACAAGATCAACGAGCATGGCCGCGGGAGAGGATCTGCCATGGAAACGAGGTAGAGAGCAGCCATGGATGGGAGATGAGGAGAGATGGGGGTGGTGATATATCTGAGAGTAGTTGAGGGACGGTGAATTTATCGTGGTTGTTGGGGAGTTTTTTGCGGCAGTGGCGCGCCACAAATCAGTGTGGCGGTGAAAATGTCCGCCAAACTTTCGGGGGAAAAAAGTGTGGCGGGAGGGCTTATGAGCTGTGGCTAGCCTAGCTTTAGTTGTCAACCAAACACCTACCAAAATACCCGTGGCGAGCCTTAAGTTAGGCGTGGCAATGTTTGGCCGGAAACCAAACATGCCCTAAGAGCCTTTACAATGTAGGTCATGCATAGGCTTGGCCCAAGACGCCACTAAGGCTTACTCCCTCCGTCCTAAAAAAGACCAACCTAGACATGGATCCTAGGACAATGAATCTGGACATGAGCGTTCGATCCATGCCTATGTTGATTTTTTTTTGGACGGAGGGAGTAAGACCCAGGAAGACCACAAGGTCTATAGTCCATGTAGGAAAAACAAAACGGAGCCACGTCTTTCGCAGCGCGTTTGTAGTCTTCTCTCCTCACGCCAAGAACGGGTGACCAACGAAGATCACGCGGGCTTCAATTTGGTGAGCCCATCCATGAACGTGGCAAAGATTCATACCGAATCTGTGACGTGAAGAGATCGAGCTAAATGACAGCTTGCCACATTATAAAGGCCTTAAGAGGAGAGGAGAAGAATTTCTTCTAATACAACACTGAATCAGCAGTTCAATTCAGGACTAATAGTGACAAGTTGTAGTGGCAGAGCCAGCAAATTGCTCAGATCTTGACGTGGCCCAGCCCAAAGAGTTAGGGCCTGTTTGGTAGAGCTCAAACTCCTAAATTTATTTTCAGGAGTTGGGTCTGAAGTGGAGTTATGGAGCTAATAAACCCAGCTCCACCTCTCTAGTGAGAGAGCTCCATCCAGCTCCGCTCCATTTTTAGTGGAGCTGAAACGGTTTGGCTGAGCTCCAGCTCAGGCCCTTAACCTCGATAGGAATGAAATTTTCTGGCCCAATACGGTAAACTCGGCCCGTTCTTACAACTCTGTAGATAGGGTTGGTCCAACTCGATAGTTCTGGTCGAATCTAAAGAAAACTCCAAAGCCCAGAGATGACACGGCCCAATCCGAAGCGAAGCTAACCCACCCACCCAAATCGGCGAGCCGTGCAGCCGCCGCCGTACTCCTCCTCCCGAGGCGTCGCAGCCGCCGCCACCCTGACACCTCTCCCCGCCGTCGCGCCGCCGGCGCTCGCGGCGCCCATCCACCGTCCACCTGTTGCCACCGCCGCATGCGCCAGAGGGAGGCCTAGCGCGCTCGCGGATCCCTCCTCCTCCTCGCCTCGCCCGACGACGACGCGGCTTCCAGCGATGCATCGCGCGATGCGGCTGCGCGGCCTCCTGCGCCCGCAGCTCCTGCGCACGCATGAGACCGGAGGCGCGCTTGTCGTGGGGCTCGGAGAGCCTGGCGGGAGCGCGGTGGCGCGGAGGCCGCCTCCCCTGCCTTTCGGCGACGGGCGGCGGCGGCCGTCGTCCCGGTTCTACTGCTCCAAGGGCGGCGTCGGCAGCGTGGAGGCGGCTGTGGGGAGCGGCGGAGGCGGTAGTAGTAGCAGCAGCAGCGAGCAGGAGCACGCGCGGCTCGGGGAGAGGGACCAGAAGGAATGGCTGAGCGGCGAGCGGTTCGTCACCGGCTGCAGGAGGCGGGAGTCTCCATTCCTCACCAAGCGGGAGCGCTTCCGCGACCAGTTCCTGCGCCGCGTCGTGCCATGGGAGAAGGCCACCCTCTCCTGGCGCAGCTTCCCGTACTACGTCGAGTAAGCTTGACGACGAACTGGCCCGAACACTCTAATCTGTAAATGTTTTGCTCGTTGAACCAGACTAACTTAGATTGTGTGCTCTCTCTTTGGTTGCAAGTGAGGACGCAAGGCAGCTGCTGAGTGATTGTGTGGCGGCACACCTGCGCCACAAAGATGTCGCTCTGGAGTATGGTTCTCGGCTGCAGTCCTCTGGTGGGAGGATATTGCTCCAGAGCTTGTCAGGTGCTGTGTGCAAATGAGGTTGAATTTTTCGTTAATATGTGTGTCTTATTAATCGGATGTTGGAATGCTGTTATTTTTGTTTCTATAATGCAGGAACTGAGCTCTACCGGGAGAGATTGGTAAAAGCACTTGCCCATGAGCTACGCGTGCCACTGTTGGTTTTGGACAGCAGTGTTCTAGCTCCATATGTAAGATTTCCCCTCATTATGTTGTACTAAGTATTAGATAATCCTTTTTATGAGCAAACCTAATGCATCATTTTATAGGATTTTGGTGAAGATTGTTCAGAGAGTGAGGAAGAAGATGATCATGCAGAATCTGAAGATGAAGGGTCTGTGTCAGAGGTGGAAGATGAAGGCGATGATGATGAAGAAAAATCAGGTGAAAGCGATGATGATGATGCTATTAAATCCGTGGAAGACCTCAAGAAGCTTGTTCCATGCACTCTTGAGGAATTTGCAAAGGTGTTTGTTTCTGTTAAGCTGCAGAACCATATTGAAGTCTGACCTTTTAAAATTCTTAGAAAAGCTTTGTTCTGATATATGTTTATACCACTACTTTGTATCAATACATTTGTTTAATGAATGAGAGAAAGACCTTTTAGACAAAGAGAAAAAAATCCCTGCAAATACATAAGTGGCATTATTGTTAATAACTTTATTCAAGCCGAATTGTTCCCATCTTTTTATTGCAAACATCTTTTAGTGCAAATTATAATCATCCTTGTTTCCCCCTGTATTTGTTTGCTTCTATTTCTGGCACGTGGCTTATGCCTTGATCACTTATGCTTCTAGAGAGTTGCTAGTGCCCAGGGAAGTTCATCAACATCAGAATCCTCTGACACTGCTGAGTCTCCTGAAGATGGGAAAAGGCCGCTCCAAAAGGGTACATGAGCTACCTTTCTTTTTCATCTTGTTTTTTAACTACTTATCAAAAGGAGTTGGTGTGCTCTACGCCCCCACTTCACCAGATCTTTTGTGGACCGATCTATGTAAACATAGATGTGTTATTTGTAAAAACATTTGGTAATACATTCAATTCTCTATACTTAGCAGCTGCCAGTTGATCTAATGTGAATTAGGCATGCAATTCTTTGAATATGGGGTTTATTATTATCTCTTATTTATGTATGGCTAGACTTATGGAATGTTTATTTGAGAGCTGTTGCAACGCCCTGGCAAATATGCTAAGTATTGGCTTAATTGTTCATAGCATTGTATCTACTGGTGAAATATGATATTCAAGCTAGACCTTCTTAGGGCCTGTCCAAATGAGCTTATCCGCTCATTAATTAATACATGGATTAATTAAATACTATAGATTATAAAGGTAACAATAGCTTAGAAAAAGTTATTGAAGCAACGGTGATGCAGAATGTTTTTGGAGAAATCGTACTTTTGAAAGCGTGGCATGGCACGAATAATCCATACCTCCATTAGCTAAAAAGAACGGGGCCTTAGTACTTACTGAACTTGAACAAAGGTCGAAAAGTTGCCAAAGGTCAAAACAACTTTTCTAATTGTTTGTTTAACTATTTCAGGAGATAGGGTCAAGTATGTTGGAGCATCAGTGCTTGTTGAAGCAGATCACAGGTACTTATTGGGAGTTAAGCTTACCCATGTTTGGTTTATTGGCTACTTGTGTCATGGCATTCATGCTTTTGTATTGAAGTTCTATTGGTCTAATTAGATCCAATATTATGGTGCCTCACTTGATCCGGTACCTTTTTTTTTGTGTTGTTTGCAAAGCTGACCTTGCAATAATGATGCATCAGTGCCGTGTGCAACAAGTTGACATAGACTATTAGATGTTATATGATGCGAGGAGTTTGCCTTTCAGGTTGTTTGGTTATCTAGTCTTAAAAAAGTGAGTATGTTTCTGAAAGTTGTTGACAGCCATTCACATCGGTTAACAGATCTGAAAGATAATAATGAAATCTAATGGAACATAAATAACTTTTATAAACTCAAATTTTTCCAATCCATTTGGTAATTTGGATGGGTGGGCTATGCATATGCATATGTAGACATTACAAGCAGCAAGCACATGAAACCATGGGTTGGTTTAGACGACGTGTGTTAGTCTAGTTGGATGCACGCTCTTGCATTGACAGTTGAGTATTCATGTTCATAATGCTGGTGAAATTGGTGATTCAACTTCTTGTTGCGTCAAAAAGGCATGTTGAACTTGTTTGTACTGCATATTATCCATCGAACCCTTTCTTCTTACATGGTTTTAGATCTTCGTACTTCTTGATGCTATTCATGATTCATAACATATATCTTTCATATCACAGGATCAATTTGGGGCAAATTCCTACTCAAGAGGGAGGAACAAATGCCTATACTTCTATTAATGGCAGGTGAGTTTTGTGTAGGTTAGGACTAGAAGGTTTAGTTGGAACTTTACTCCATGTTACTGCTGTTACATTTTGAGCAATATATGCCTAGATTCAGTTGTTATTTATGGTGGAAGAGTTACTCCTGAAATGTATATCATTTGCTGGCATGTTATCTTAATATTCTACAAGTTTTGCTTTAAATCTTTGTGCATAAAGTTCTTGCAGTTTCAGGTGTGACGTAGGTGCAAAATATCTTAATACTTGTTAGTGTGGTCTCTACTCATAGCCACTAGTCATATTTATGTTTGTTTCCATCTCAATAGTCCTTTGTATCACCATTGTTTCTGATGAATGAGTTCATTTTACATTTGATATTCCTTATATCGAAAACTAATCTTTTAGCATTGTTAAAAGGCACAATTTGTGTGAGAAGTTTATTTTTTAACACCATATTATGTCATAATTGCAGGACATTATCAAATGGACAGCGTGGAGAGGTGTATGAGATCAATGGCGATCAAGCAGCTGTTATATTTGATCCTTCTGAAGACAAGCTGTCTGATGATAAAAAAGATGAAGCTAGCAAAGAGCATCTTGCTAAACCAGCAGTTTGTTGGGTCGACAGTATGCTTCTATTCCCAGTCATCCATAGTTTTGTAACTGACCTGAAAATTCTGCAATTTTAACACTGATCTCATTTGTACTTTTAGCTCAGGATATTGAGCTTGACCATGATATACAGGCAGAAGATTGGCACATCGCAATCGAAGCACTTCGTGAGGTAATTTGACAGAAATTATTTTTTGTCTAAAACCTATATTTTGTTGAATTTTCTTGTTGTTTGCATTGCATAGTTTTGACGTCTTGTTCTATGTTGTACACTTGGTGAGATATGCAGATGCTGTAACTACTATACTTGTGTCTTGTATGATCTGCTAATGAACTTAACTGTACTGGGTCTCTTATATAAATAGGTACTGCCATCTCTACAGCCAGCCATTGTTTACTTTCCTGATAGTTCCCAGTGGCTGTCTAGGGCAGTTCCAAGATCAAATCGCAGGGAGTTTGTTGAAAAGGTAGAAGAAGTGTTTGACCAGCTTACTGGGTCTTTAGTTTTGATATGTGGACAAAATATAACTGAGGCAGCGCCCAAGGAAAAAGAGCCGGTAAATTTTAGATACACTTATTGTTCCAGCTGCTTGCATTTATATTATAGGCAGTTAGGCACTTCTTTTGGATCTTATTTGTTTTTTCATAATGCAGAAGACGCTAGTGTTCCACAATCTTGCTCGCCTATCTCCACTGGTAATGTCTTGTTAATCTATCAAAGAAGTTATGTTTAGTTTATGGTACTCTTCAAGTTCTTTGTTCAACTGTTCAGAAAACACTTGCATTCTCCTACATTTGCTCTGCTGCTCATCTTGATTTTATGCATGGAAAACCATGTGAGGTTCCTAGGCCTTCAGACTATATCCAGCTAGAGGGCGGGGGGAGGGGCAGTGATCTGGCCCCCTCTAACATTTTTTTCCACACATAACCACCTTATTAATTAGATAATTAACCTAAATAACAGTGTATTAGGCCCCTCCCATGTCTGAATCCTGGCCCCACCACTGCTTGGGAATAAATGAAAAAAACAGTTGCTCATCTAACATATAACATATATATATGTGCTGAATAGTCCCATAAACTCCAGTAGGTTAATAAGATTGGCTTGACATCATGCTGGTTTTTGGAAGAAAACGCAAAGGGATGCTGATATATGTGATCCTGTGCCATATCAAGCTGTGTTTATAGTGCTGTTAGAAAGCAAGATCTGGCTCAGCCTAGTCTGAAAATGTAGTGACTTTCACTACTAGGTACGTTGGGAACAGCCAAATATAGCAAGGTTGATGTGTACCTGTTTGCTGCTGCTACAATGATGTATTGAGCTGTGATTAGTTTCAAGTACTAGTAATTGGCAAATTGTTGCTGTTGCAATTATTATTTTTTAGATAATGGAATATAACATCCCGGCCTTTGCTCAAAACAATGGTTACCACTTACCTGTTAGCTAATAAGAAAAAGGCAAAATGGAAATGCTTTTTAAAAAGACAACTTAGGTTTTCCATATGCAACCTTTAAAACAAACAACGCTACCAGGAAATACTCAACTGTAGTTTTGCCACAGGAATAGTTAGAAAACAAAGAAAGGTGTTTTGATAGGAGGAGCTTATTGGTTTTGCTGTACATCATTCTGTGTTTTGCTGCTTGGAGAACTTGAATGTTCTAAAGAGCTGCTTTTCTTTCTAACACCATGCATGGTGGGTTTCCCGCAACCTATAGTCACAAAAAGTCTATTAATCTGTAATACCATATTTTCAGACATCATCCTTGAAGCGGCTGGTAGGTGGGCTAAAAGCGCGGAAGCCTTCAAAGTCAAATGACATATCAAAGCTCTTCAGAAATAAATTCTTTATTCCTCTTCCAAAGGTAAGTTGACATCTTTTTAGTACTGATTCTCTGAAGTTTTCATATGTGAATCCTTCCAAAGGTTTTGACTGCGGTTGTTCACTGACATGTAATGATCATGCGTCTGTGTGTTACATTATGCCAATAACTAAATGCAATTCCTCTGTGATTAGACAGCTGTTGCCTTTAGACTTTACAGCTGGGACTTTAATACTCATGTTATTTCCTTTTATGTGCAGGATGATGAACAGCTGAGAGTTTTCAATAACCAGATTGAGGAGGACAGAAAAATAATTATCTCAAGGCATAACCTTGTAGAAATGCACAAGGTATTGGACATGCTGATTACATGTGCTTTAATCAGTAATTTTGCAATTGCTTTTGAATTTCATTTACTGACCTACAAAACCATATGGTTAAAACATCACTTCCTCAAAGTGCTTGCCTTTAAGTAATGACTGATTAATGTAGGTGCTTGAAGAGCATGAGCTATCATGTGAGGATCTTTTGCATGTGAAATTGGAGGGCATTATTTTGACAAAACAAAGTGAGTGTGCTAGCTGGATCCATATTATGATGCGTATATGCTATACTTTTACCTGGGTTGCCAGTGTTATATATGCTTTGTTGATCATATGAAAATTTGAAGCATAGTGTCTTCAAGTTGAAGTTTGTTGGAGTTGACGTTTGAATGTTCTGGTTGTATGCATTTTTATTTGATTTATGCAATCACATGTGAAATGTTACTGCACAATTACCCCAGCAGAAACACATAATATAGTATGCAACCACTGTCTGCCAACTACATGGCCCTATCAATTTGTTTTGCACCTTCTTGTGATGAAACTTAACACACTAATAAATACTTCTTTTCTAATACTGCATAATGAATGCAACTCGCTCAACTAATTTATTGGAGTGATAATTAGGACAGGTTCTTACTTTATGCATACGTAATTTCATATACATTGAAAATTTGGAATTCCAATTGCAGGAGCAGAGAAGGTCATTGGATGGGCTAGAAGTCACTATTTATCATCAGTGACGTGTCCCTCTATAAAGGGTGACAGGCTGATCATTCCCCGTGAGAGGTATTTCATCATTGATTTTGGGATTCGGTCATCTCTGTTGGCTCTGCACTGACAATGCTTTCTTGTTTTTTTTGAAGTCTGGACCTAGCAATTGGAAGGTTAAAGGCACAGGAGGCTTCATCGAGGAAGTCTTCTGAAAAAATTAAGGTAATTTAGCTTTAGTTGTTTAACTTTTCTATTAGTTGCTAGTCTTATTTGTCCTGCTGGCAAGTCATTGTACTGCGTTACTTCCAAGCTCAAGGGGGATCTTCACTGCAGATTTTGGCAAAAGATGAATTCGAGCGCAATTTCATTTCAGCAGTTGTACCTCCCAATGAAATTGGAGTAAAATTTGATGATATTGGTGCTCTTGAGGATGTTAAGAAGACACTGGATGAACTTGTTACTCTTCCAATGAGGAGACCAGAGCTTTTTTCTCATGGGAACTTGTTAAGGGTATGCCTTCCTGTTTTTGTTATCGTGTCTACCTGCACCTTTTTTTGATCTTGTATATAGTGTTTTTGCTTCATTGTTACCACTTGGGTGTATAAAATACCTTGGAGTATGTTACCAATCCATAGCTTAAAATCATGGAATGTTATGTTCTAATGTACAAAAAATTTAGTGCTATCCCTTTCTATATAAAGAAGCTTGTAACTTGTTGGGGCCTTTGGTGTTCTGACTCGTGACTCTACAAGTTTGTTTGCAGCTATGTCACTATTGCTTGATGTTGTTTTATAATCAGCGATTATCTGATGCCAATTTTAATGGGGACGTCTTTTCTGTATTATCTGCTTTACCTGTTACAAGTTATGTCTTGAACATATGATATAATGGGTCATAGTGAGTCTACAGTACTATTACATGTTTGCACTAGACGCAAAAACAACAAAATGTTAATTGGATGGAAAATAAATCCTTAAATCAGGTCTCTAAATAGTTTTGTCCCTTTATAGCATAAACTTTGTTCCTGATTTCCTCTAGGTGAGTTGGTTAGGTGGCTCTAGTAGCACTCCTTAGGTACTGGGTTCGACTCCCCGTGGGAGTGAATTTCAGCTTGGGGTTAAAAAAATTCCCCTCGTCTGTCCTACACCGAAGCACAGGTCTAAGGCCTGGCCAGGTCATTGGTCGTTCTCACATGGGCTATGGTGCTGCTGTGTAAGGTTGGGGCAGGGGTTCGGGGGTTTTCTTGACCTGCATGAGAAGGTCTTCTTAGCAAAATACCCCGGGGTTGTCTTAACCCCCCCCCCCACCCCCACCAGGTCGAGTTTGAACCTACTTGCTATGGCTGTTGCACGTCAAGGCGCAAGTGTTGCTATCACAGATGAAAATGCGAAAATCATTAGAGATGTTAATGAGATTATTGTTTTATGCCATACTGCTTGATTCCACTGTATTTGCCAAGTTGGCAAACCTGAAGTTCAAGGTCTCATGACCATCTTTCTTAGTTCAACTGTGCCCTGTGTGTCAAAAATTGTATGATAGGCATTCATTTCAAAATTCAAACTTCGCAAATTTTTACCAGGCTAACTATATATAGGTTTAATCATACAGAAGTGGTATTAGTAGATTTGTACATTGTACATGATATTCTTAGTAACAACATATTCCAAGAAAAACTTATGGTCAAACTGCTAAATAAATGGCTGCAACAAGTCGATCCATGCCTTGCAAAAATTGGAGTATGAAACAAAATCTGGATATTTAGCTTTGCTTTGTTGGGTGTACTTCCTTATTGTTATGTTCTGTTAATTGTTTTGCATATGCATAAAATTTTCATTGTTGTAATTTTAACATGACATGTTTGTATGGACCTTTGTTTAGCCTTGCAAAGGTATATTGCTTTTTGGACCTCCAGGGACAGGGAAAACACTTTTGGCAAAGGCACTTGCAACAGAAGCTGGAGCAAATTTTATCAGCATAACTGGTTCTAATCTTACATCAAAGGTTCTGTCTGACTCTTTTGATTCTTTTTAACTGTTTGGACTTGGAGTCATGTACTCATGTTAAATCTTTTATTTATTTCACCATAGGTAGATTTCTATGCCCTTCTGTATTTAGTTTTCTCCCCTTCATCAAAGTTTTTAAGTGAATGAAAGACATGATAATGCCAAACATTCTTTTATAAATGGTGACTGGACAAATTACTGACTATATGAACTGTGCTGGTGCTGCAGTCTGCACTGAATCAAAATCTCTACTAGCTCCCACACCAATTTCAGTACAGCTTTTATTTAACGTTTTTCCCCATCTTTTGCGAGTGTGTGCCTGCCACTTGAAAGAAATTAGGAGGCAACACAGAACTTAGCAGTCCATCCCTTGCATAAAACTTTTCTCATGGAGCCCTTGTCCATATATTTCTCTGTTTACAGTGGTTTGGAGACGCTGAGAAGCTCACTAAGGCCCTTTTCTCCTTTGCTAGTCGGCTAGCACCTGTTATCATATTTGTGGACGAGGTAAATTTTGCTTCCGTTAATGAAACTGGCATAGTCATTTATATTCAGGAGATTATCTTGTGGTTTCCAATTTCATACGAAATCTCTTTATTCTAATGCAATTTGTATTTGATAATGACAGGTTGATAGCTTACTTGGTGCAAGAGGTGGTGCATTTGAACACGAAGCAACAAGAAGAATGCGGAATGAATTCATGGCAGCTTGGGATGGTTTAAGATCCAAAGAGAACCAAAGGATCCTTATTCTTGGTGCAACAAACCGTCCATTTGATCTAGATGATGCAGTAATTCGGCGTTTACCTAGGCGGTAAGATCTGCAATCGTGTGATTTTACCAAAATTATCTAAGCTTGGTCAGTATATCAAAATGACGGTCTGTCAATGTGATATGTAGGATATACGTTGACCTTCCGGACTCACAGAATCGAATGAAAATTCTGAAGATTTTACTTGCAAAAGAAAACCTGGAATCTGATTTCAGATTTGACGAACTAGCCAATGCAACTGAGGGTTACTCTGGTAGTGACTTGAAGGTATTGCTAAGCCCTCCATAGCGGTTCAACTCTTAACCTCCTGCTTTCCAAGAAAACATCTACTAGCCATGTTTGTTTTGTGTATGGAGACTAACGTGGCACTTTCTGCAGAACCTATGCATCGCAGCTGCGTACAGACCAGTTCATGAGCTTCTAGAAGAAGAAAAGGTGATTTGTCCTTGCTTGTAAATATTTATACTTCAAGCTAGGTGATTTGTCCATGCTTGTAAATATTTGTACTTCCGTTCTTAAGCTTTGTTCATCATCTTGGATGTGGTGTCCCCACGTTTGTTCATACGATCTCCATTTTTTTAGGGAGGCGTTAGTGGCACAAAAATATCTTTGAGGCCCTTAAAGTTGGAGGATTTTGTGCAAGCAAAAGCAAAGGTATAACCTAACCACTGGCTACTGCATCTCCAATGTTTCACTGTGCTGTGCTTTTGTGATACTTATCTGGTTCTTTTGCCCCCTATACAGGTAAGTCCATCCGTCGCTTTTGACGCCACGAGCATGAACGAGTTACGAAAATGGAACGAGCAGTACGGGGAAGGTGGAAGCAGGAGTAAATCACCATTTGGGTTCGGCAGCTAACATTGTTCTGTCAGTATTTTTAGTTCTCACATTGTATCATCTGCATCATTAGCGAGCTCCAACTTTAGCCATAGGAAGCCAGCAATAGGCGCTTCTTTCTCTGATGTGCCCGCCTCCTTTCCTTTTCACCTATATCCTATTTCAGAGTTATGTGATCCCTGTATCAATAGAGAAACACCTAATCACACCAAATTTTCCTGAGCCTTTTTGAACAAGTGCTCCGTCCTCCTGTTGTAATTTTGATGCATCCCTCTGTTGAAACCTGACCAAACTGTAAATAGCCGAAGAAGAAATTTTGTCCCGAGACAACAGATAATATGCTGTTACAACAAAATAAATCCCATATTCTTTCCATTTTGTCAACTGCTGAACTGCAGCTACTGCTCTCCATGGCAGCTCGTGCATTATCATTTCATCATTGAATTTTTCTCTACCTTTGCAATGTGGCTGCTCATTTTCCATGTCTTGCGTTGGCCGTTTCGCTCTTGCTTGTCCATGTTTCCGGCTTTGCCGGCCTGTAATGTAGTTCTACCTGCCATTCGATGCCGGCGAGAGCTGGGACTCGGTGAGCCGTCGTCTTGTCTTGCCGTTCTGTGACCGGCAAGTGTTTCCGCCTGTAGACTGTAGTGGTGCTGCACGCCTTCATTGCCTTTTTGTCTTCTGATTACGTGCGTGCAGCGAGCGAGTTGGACCAAAGCACTAGTACGTGGCAATTTGGCACGTTTTGGAGAGCGCGACTATGCGGCGAATGGAACTCGACGGCGAGATAAGCGAAATTTTATTGTTTTGTTTAGAACTTTTTTAATTTTAGAAATAAACCTACCCTCTTGAAAATTACCACGTCACCTCGCCGGCATGCTGAAATAACTCACACCACTTGGGGTTGGTATATATACGGCCTGTTTGATACGACACCAATTCTAGCTCCACCTCTCATATAGCTAGAATTCAACTATTAAACTTGCTCTAAGCTGGATTAATTGTATAGTATATTTTTATAGATAATTATTATATAAATTGGCTATTAAAATTGACTATAAATGATTTAGAGTAGATAGTTGACTATACTATTAAACTTAGCTCTAATCTGGGTTAGGCTTCCAGTATACCTAGCACTACCGGGAGGACTGCGCGTAGGGGTGGAAACGAGCCGAGCCAGGCTCAGTTAGGGAAACAAGCTAAAACTTGAGCTTGGCTCGGCTCGTTTCCTGGCTCGAGCCAGCTCGAGCTGACTTGCAAGCCTTCATGTTGAAACACCTCTTCATATATATTTTTATAATTATTAAGAAAAGCAAGGACAAATTATCATCATATAAAATTTAAATAAGTTTATATATTCAATTCTTCATAATCTTAATGATAAATTTTAAGTTGACAAATAATAACACCATAAAAAATAAAATAATTGATATAAACACATGATAGCCTAAGCTCGCGAGCTAGCTCGGCTCGGCTCATTTCAGCCACGAGCTGAAAAGGAGGCTTGGGCTTGGCTCGTTTGGCTGACGAGCCGAGCCAAGTCCGAGCTGAGCTCACGAGCCCGAGCTTTTTTTTTTTTTCCATCCCTAACTGCGCGTCTGCCGCCCAGCCCACCACCGGCGACGGGTTGACACGTGCGGCGAGCCGCCGTTGCTTGACTGCCCAGCCAGCGTGGCACATGACATGATGATCATCGAACCTTCAAGCCTGATGACATGATCTCTCTACCATGATTTGTGGATCCTTGTAGTCTGCGCTTCTTTTTTGTACGTTAAAAAAAAAACTTGTAGTACGCGCTTTTGTGAATAAAAAGTATCAATGGGCACCACAATTTAAACTATATTTTATAACTCCTATCACAATCATATATACCTTTGGTGTTTGCCCATATTTTATTAAAATTTAGCGTTGCTAATTTAATAAGATAATAAACTAAACTAGTCAAAACTCATAGTATAAGCCTGTAATTGTTACAGATTTCTGAGAGGGGCTTGAAAACGAACCAGAGCAGCACAAACAACATCTGGTGCCGGCTAGCGCTAACATAACAGTCAAGTCTCAAAATTGGCAGCGCCACCTACTCCCTTCTTTGGTCTCCATGCATGCCACCAACCCAAAAACTCACAAGTGACAATCCGACGTGGCACCGTGAAGTCGTCTCGTTCAAAAACCAGTCCTGTATGCAAAAGGTAGGGAGTGCATGGTACAGGCTTAACAAACTCCAAATTTCATTCATTGACCAGAGTTAAGTATCCCCAAATTTCGAATAAGAGCTTTTATATGTATGTAAGTAACCAAAGAAACAATTTTTGTTAACCTTTTCACCTTGTATCCGATGATTTTTTTTTGTTTTGTTTTGCATTGAGGATAGGAGAAAATTATCGAGAACCAATTTTTCACTTTGTATAGGCTACTTTCCATTCTACTCCCTCCGTCCCAAAATATAAGTATTTTTAGAACAGTGCGAAGTCAAACTTTTTAAATTTTAACTATTAATAGCAAATAAATTAAAAAGATTAATCATGTAAATTTGATGTTACTATATTTATCATTAAACGAGCTATCATAATATGCAACTCTTTTTATTTAAAACATCTTACTTTTGTAGATATTGTTGGTCAAAGTAGCACCTCGAAGACTGAACCGAGATAAAAAAAATCTTATATTTTCGGATAGAGAGGGAGTAGCTCTCACGCATTGATTGTCTATAAGAACTATGGAACCTTGGAAAGTTGGTGCTCTTACAGTCTTACCGTCAGATTACTTGTTGTTTTTGTTTTTTATTTCTAACTTGGATTACAATTTCCAAAATATTATGGGTCTATTTAGATTAGTGCCAAGATAAATGTTACCAAAATTTGGCAATGCCAAAATTCTGGCAAATTGGCACATTGCCAATATTTAGTAACAAACTAAATATAGCCACATAATTATTAATTTTATTAAATAATGGTATTGTTAAAAATGTCATCAACATGAACAGGTCCTATATATTTATGTAGTCTAACAGCAAGTGAACTCTCTATATAGCACTATACAATACCTATGTTTTTTAATAGATGACACTATTAACTTTTGGTATACGTTCAACTATTCATCTTATTAAAAAATTGTGTAATTATCATTTATTTTGCTGTGAGTTTTTTTATCACTAAAAGTATTTTAAGCATGATTTATATCTCATACATTTGCATAAATTTTTTTTAATAAGATGAATAGTTAAACATGTGTCTAAAAGTCAATGGTGTTATCTATTAAAGAACGGAGGGGGTATATCATGAAAATATTACTCACGGTGAATAAAAGAATAAATCTTATGGTGTTAAACAATACAAAATTTTAAAATTTAATGATCAAAGTTAGTCATGTTTGACTTAGAACAAATCTAAAACGACAATGAGTTTGAAATGGAGGGAATATTTACATAATCTTACAATTAATTATTACATGGTCTAGAGAAAAAACACATGGAATTATTGAAAACCAAGTGTAAACTTAATCTGTGTTATAAATAATAATCCCTTAGGTACAACTTTCGATTATATTGAAGCCGATTTATGTACAGGAGAAGAAGTTGATATATATGACCATAATCCATAGGAGACACTGATAATACTCTCTATCCAGAAGTCTCAACGCACGTTGTTACTAAAACCAAAGAACAATTAACTAATCCCGCATGTAACAAATATCAATGAATTGTACACATACATGCATATAATGACAAATGAGTATTTAGATAGCTACTCGGATTCTAATTAACAATTTTATCTAGCACCGCAAAATAAAAGGCAAATATTTGATTAAGACTTTTGGATAGAAAATAAAATATGATTTAGACTTTTGGATGGTGGGAACCATACGGAGGTAGGCTGGATCAACTCGTGGATATTCCTTGACCCATGTTTGTTTTAGATTACTGCAAAAGTGAACATTTTAAAAATTTGGCGACACCAAAATTTTTATAAGGTGGCAGCATTGCTAAATTTTAGAGTAAAGTCCATCACCGGTCCCTAAACTTGTACCGTTGTGTCATCCCGGTCCCTAAACTCGCAAATCGACCGTTCAGGTCCTTAAACTTATTCGACTGTGTCATCCTGGTCTCAAAACTTGCAGATCACTCGTTTAGGTCCTCCAACTTGTTCAGTTGTGTCACCCCGGTCCCTAAACAAGACGGTCTAAAAACTTTATACCAAAAAATAATTCATAACTTTTTCATGTGAACTCTAATGATGACAAACTTTATATCAAAATTGTAGCCCTCGACACGACCTACAACTTTGTAGTAGAAAAGTTTTTGAATTAAAACTGTTTAGGGTCCCAAAATATTGTTGCATGTTTATAGATTTTGAAATTTTAATTTTAAAATTATATTTTGGGACAAAAAATGACTTAAAATAAAAAAAATCGACTACAAAGTTGTAAATCGAGGGCTACAAGTTTGATATAAAGTTTGTCTTCATTAGAGTTCACATGAAAAAGTTATAAATTATTTTTAAATATAAAGTCTTTAGACCGTTCTATTTAACCCAGATGATATTTAAATCCAAGTTTAGGGACCGGGGTGACATAACTTAACAAATTGGAGGACCTAAACAAGTGATCTGCAAGTTTAGGGACCGGGATGACACAGTTGAACAAGTTTGAGGACCTGAACGATCGTTTTGTGAGTTTAGAGACCGAGATGACACAGCGGTACAAGTTTAGGGATCGGTGATGGACTTTACTCTAAATTTTAGTAGGATAGGCTAAATGTATTGGTATCAAAATTTTTTAGGCATTACCAGTATTTGGTGACAAGCTAAACGCATTGGTATCAAAATTTTCTAGGCATTACCAGTGTTTGTTAATTTTTAAAAAATGATATGGTACAAAATGGCACTTATCTGAACGGGCTCAAAGAAACACTTTAAACTTAATTAATTATTATGTTAACTCTCTTATTTTACGTGCCCTCAAGTTCTCGGTCTCCATTAATCGCAAGCCGCAAACATGGCCTACGACCAAAGGTTGTTGACCAACCCAGATCGTTTTTCTAAGACCTGTAATTTACGCGTATATAGCTCAGCTATTTCAGTGGTAGTATAAAGTTACTCCTACTGGCTACTAACACAAGAGAAACGTGGAAGCCGTGTGAGCCGTTCGACGAGACCGATTGCACGAAGCAGCTAGGAAAATGTGGATAATAAGGTCATCTCAAACTAAAACTATCAAAATAGTTTTTATACTATACTTTACATGTCATATAGACATTATTTATAAAAATTATATACCCAGTGAATGGCATCTTTAAATTAAATTCTCATCTAATCACCTCTCTTCTCTCTTTTTTTTATCCACAGTTTTTATTCTTGTTATTGTGTTCTCTCATTTCTTATGTCTCCTTTTATCCACCGTTTTCATTATTGGTTCCTGTGTTCTCTCTTTTTATCTATCATTTTTATTCTATAGAGATGGTTTCTTGTATGAGAAATAATGTTTTTATCTTTTTACATCTCTTCTCTTTTAACTCTTTTGTCACTTTTGTCACATTAGATTTTTGCTTACGTGATACTCCCTCCGTCCCAAAAATAAGTGCAGTTTTACACTATTCACGTTCAACGTTTGACCGTTCGTCTTATTTGAAAATTTTATATGATTAGTATTTTTATTGCTATTAGATGATAAAACATGAATAGTACTTTATGTGTGACTAAATATTTTTAAATTTTTCGCAAATTTTTCAAATAAAACGGACGGTCAAATGTTGGGTACGGATATCCACGGCTGCACTTATTTTGGGACGGAGGTAGTAACATATTTAGGGCATGTTTGGATTGATGCCCTACTAAAAATTTTGATAGTGTCAAATCTTAGTCAAGTTTTGGTTGCCAAAACTTTGGTAGGGTAGAGTTAAAAATATTCATTTGGATTGAAGCCAAACTATACTTATAAGAGACAAGTTCATTGGCAAAACCAAATTTATAGCATTAATAGTGTTTCAACCTATGTGTTTAGATTGTTACCCTACCAAAATTTTACAATCCAAACTGCCCATTCTATGGATGGATTGGCCTAAAGCATACTACTCCTAAGAAGGGCAGATCCGTAAATTCATTATCTTATACACTCTCGAGCCGCGAACCAACCACCTTCGCGACACGTCAGCATCCCCCGACCCCCGCGGCCGTCTCGCCCCGTATTTATTAGCGCCCGGCCGCCGCGCGTCTCCTCTCTGCTCTGCTCCGCCCGCTTCTTCGCCGCCGGCTTCCTCCCACCCGCAACCCAACGCCGGCGCGGCGGCCGTGGTTGGTTACCCTACCTACGCTACTACACGCCTCAGGGGCAATGGAGGCTAGAGCGGGGCTGGCGATGCAGTCGCGGGCGGCTGTCGGGGTCGGAGCTGGCCCCGGCGTGGGGCGGCGGGGCCGCGCCGTGATCCGCGTGGGGAAGCGGCCAACCGCGGCGAGCCTGCGGGTCGGAGGCCCCGCCGGACCGGCGGCGGCCAAGCCCCTCGCCCCGCTGTACTGCCTCAAGGCGTCCAGAGGTGATTCATCTGTTTTTTTTTTCTTCTTTTTTTTTTAACTCCCTTGCAGCGGGCGATTCCGGGGTTGTGCTCGTGCGAGCACGGTGTCGTTAGGGTTAACTTTGGCGCGATTTTGTCCGGGATTTTTTTCTCTTCGAGCGGATGCGGATCCCTCTGGTATGGTATTCAGTGTGGATATATGGGTTCGTCGTGGTAGCCAGATTTTTGCAGTTTTTTAATTGGATTGGGGGAAGTGGTCACTTTCGTGGTGATCTGGAGTAAATGTGACAACTTATGTGTTGGAAATGGAGTTGTTCAGGGTAGGTGATGGCTTTGCTGGGTCAAATAGGAAAGTTGGATGGGGCAATTTCAATGAAGCTCTCTCTCTCTCTTTGTTAGGTGGGTTGGAAGGGGTTAAATTTCAGTTTGTAGAAGTGTGTATTGTTACATGTTTTTCTTGGTATCAACCTGCTATTTACTTCAAAAATGGTCAACATTTTGTAACAAATACACTACTACAAATAACCTCTGATGATCACACCAACGTTGGATTGTCTATGCACCTTGTATCATTTCTTGTTGTGATTTCTTACCCGATGTAGTCTTCTATTTTAGGTAGTTGCCTGACGAGATGTATATGCTAAATTTTGCTTGTGTTCAGCTGAAATAACTTTCTTTGTAATCTTGTATCGTACAGGCCACGACAGCTTGCATAACTCAGTTGATGAAGCCCTCCTGTTAAAGGTAAATAACGCTTTACAAAAATTCCTACTATTAGTTAAATCAAGAGTAAAATATGGCTAGAACTTTGTTCTCTCATCTTTGGCTTTCGGCCATTGGTATAATGTTTTCTAATTGTAATTGCAGAGGAAATCAGAAGAAGTTCTATTCTACTTGAACGGACGGTGTATTTATTTAGTTGGTTAGTTCTGAACCTGTATCATTTAATTGTTAACCTGTAACTGGAGACTAAATACCAAGTTAAATATAACTTGATCTTATTTGAAAATGAAATTAATAATATTGAGTACGTATTGTAGGAATGATGGGCTCAGGGAAGAGTACAGTTGCAAAGATATTAGCCGAAGTTTTGGGTTATTCATTCTTTGACAGTGATAAGTTGGTTGAACAAGCAGTTGGAATGCCTTCTGTTGCCCAAATATTCAAGGAGCACAGTGAAGCGTTTTTCAGAGATAATGAGGCAATGTTTCTTTTCTGAATTATGTTTCCCTGTTGACAACATGACACTGTTATTTTTCAGATAGTTTCTATTTTTTTGTAGTGATTTGAATGGAAAGATTTGTGGAGTAACAATTTCTCAGACATGATAGACTAACAATTCCATGGTTCCCTGCTTTGTCTAACAGAGTAGTGTCTTGAGGGACTTGTCCTCAATGCGACGATTAGTTGTTGCAACTGGAGGTGGTGCCGTTATTCGGCCAGTTAACTGGTATTGGGATTAATCTGATCTCACGCCCATCCTCTTGTAAATTTGGCTTTTTCTGTTTATGGATAATAAGTGAAAGCTCTTGTGTTTTTTCAGGAAATATATGAAGAAAGGTCTATCTGTCTGGCTGGATGTGCCTTTGGATGCACTTGCAAGGCGTATTGCTCAAGTGGGTACTGCCTCTCGTCCTCTTCTGGATCAGCCATCGAGTGATCCATACACAGCGGTAGTTACTCTCTATCCTTGAAACTAATCGTTTGTACATTCACAAGACAGATGCTTTCTTAACTAGAAGATAACAGTCTTCATGTGAAAACACCAATCAGCGTTAGTGCTTATAGACCTTGTAGCTTTTGAACTTGCATGTATTTCATTTACCATCTTCATTTTGTCTTTCTGCATGGTTGTGCTCATTAAAATGGATGGCTCATGGAATTGTTTGTTCCCCAGGCCTTCTCAAAACTCAGCATGCTTGCAGAGCAAAGAGGCGATGCTTATGCAAATGCTGATGCTCGAGTTTCTCTTGAAGGTATGTTTCTTTTCTGACATGTCCTTCATCTTAATATGCTCCTAGTTTGCTGATAGCAGATGGATATCTAGTGTCGCTTCAGCGAAGCTTTTCATGTATCCAACAGAGAATAATACAGTCTGCATTATTTTACCTCTGCAGAAATTGCAGCTAAACAAGGCCATGACGATGTCTCCAAACTAACACCGACCGATATTGCTATTGAGGTATTGCACATTTCGGGACAATTATTCATGTAAACTTGTCATTTCATCTCTCTTTGTAAGGACGTCTCATACTCTGCCCGATTGAATTTTTTTCCTAACATAACATCCTGTTGCATTTCAGGCCTTACTCAAGATTGAGAATTTCGTCACCGAGCATTCCACATCAAGTGGCCCAGTTGGGGACTTAATAGTTGATTCCCAGAATCGAAGGACAAAGGCCTTGTAGAATTTTGCCCTCTTTTTTTCTTCTTTTGGTGTATCCTGTATTTGTAGCATGTGCTGTTTAACATTATATTGATTTATTCTTTATATATCCAAAAGAGAGATAAGGCAAAGCTTGTTCCCCTTGTAAAAATAGAATAACGAATGGAGCTGACGCGAGATGTTCCACAAATTTTCGTTCTGGAAATAAGAATCGTTGCAATATCGTTTGCCCAACTTCATGCACTGTCACTGCCGTGTTTTTTGCTCAATTTCTGTAGATCACTAGTTACAAACATATCGTTATCTCTCTATTTCGACTTTTTGAGAGGCAGAAAGGAAGGATTATTAATTTGTTACTACTCCATCTGTTACAAAATACAACTTGTAGCGTTCAAAATTTAATTAAGAATGCAATAACGTTTTCATCTTATTTCATTTAATTTAACCCACTTCCTTGATGTCCGTACAAAACTAACTATTTATACTTTGGGATTGATGGAATACATCTTTATTCATATTTTAGACCAAAACGACTCTCCCTGTTCCCAAATACTTCTCACCATACACTGTTCACATTTTAATTTTGACCACTAGTTTTTTTTCGAAAAAATCAAAGTGATTGCGTCATAAGTATTAATATTTTTATCGTAGACTAACTATCTAAAATTATTATTGATTAAAGTTGCTCAATTAAGTGCAATGGGCGAATGATAAGTTTGTTCCTGTAGCAGCATAAATTATTGAATCAATGCATTCTATTTATCCTGAGGACCAGTGAAGATCGAATACATGATAATCTAAGTGTGTATATGTACTCACCGTTGGCATGTTCGGCCGCCATTCCCACGGCAGCGCTGCGGCTGCAGCAGCAAGCAGCATGCTCAGCTGCATGGCAGTTAGCTGCAGCTTGCTGCGAAAAATGCCAGCCGAATAGGTCCTGTAGTGTTGTAGTGTTAGTACGTGCATATTACTAGTTCGGAGTATTTTAGTTTAATAAGATTGTGAATATTTATGTGTGCGAAACAGAGCCTATAGAATGTTTAGTGGGTTGGCCCAATGTAGTATGGGCTAAGGTGCGCATGACTTGAGAAGGCAGCCCAGCCCATATCCATCCAACCCAAAGCGGGTAGATTTTGCCTTGGAAAGGCAAAATTAAAAGTACACCGAAGGTCCCTTAACTTGTCACTGATTACGAAATCGTCCTCCAACCACAAAACCGGATATATGACAATATGACATTCCTCAACTTACAAAACCGGTCACTTTAGGTCCTTCGGTAGTTTTGACCCCGGTTTTATCCGATGTGGTGGCTGAGTCAGCGTGGGACCCACATAGGCCCCACATGTCAGTAAGCCATGTCACCACCTCTCTATTTCCCCTCCTCTTCCTTCCTCCTCTCTCTCTCTCTCACACACCTTCTCTCCCTTCTTCCTCTCCTCTATCCCTTACTCCTCTCTCTCACTCTTCCGGTCTTCCCTGGGCAGGCTAGCCGGCGCGGCGCGGCGGGACGGGGTGGGGCGAGGGCAGCAGCGGCCAACGCGGCGGCGGTGGCGGCCGGCGACGAGCGGCATGGGAGAAGGAGAGGCGGTGGCTCTTCCTACCACCATCAACGGCACCATCCACTCCCTCCTCGGTGTGTCCTCCAGCTCCGATTTCCTCCCTCCCTCCTGTGCTGCATCCACTCGTCCTCCTTGTTCGCCGAATCCCTCCTCACCGCATCCTCTCCGACGGTTTGCTTCCCGAAGTAGATAAGAAAGAGCCACACGAGGCCAACGGGCGCGAGACGGGAGAGGAGATCCGGCGGCCGACGACGTGGTGGCCGGCGAGACCGACGCTAGCGCCGCCTGAGCTCCTCCAGTGCCGCCCAAGCCCAACAACGGCAGCTCTTTCCCAGCCGCCGCCTTCCAGATGTCGCCACTGCGATCTTCCCAGAAGACGTCGTCGCCGCCTTCGTGGGAGTCTCTGGCGACCACGCACTCACCGTGTCGGCGAACGCCGATTCCGGCAGGATGCAAAGCTTGGGACCTCGCCGGCGTTTAGCAAGACGGAGGTAGTGGTCGATGAAGGCGTCGGAGGAGAGCGCGGCGGCCCAGGCACGGGAGAGACTGCAGCAGCGGAGCACCAACCTGAGCGGGATGCGCGCGCCTCGCTCGCCTCCGACGAGGCCGATGCCATGGCAGACTGTGCTGAGGAGGCTATGGGGCGACCAGGCCGCGGTGGAGGAGCAATCCTCCCGTGTCGTCGTAGCCACCTCCTCCCCAGCCGTCGGCCGGCTTGCCCAGAGAACAGAGAAGAGAAGACTGTGATAGAGAGAGGAGGAAGGGAGAGAGATGACGTGACAGCCTGACATGTGGGGTTCACGTGGGTCCTATGCTGACTCAGCAACCACATAGGATAAAATCGAGATCAAAACCACCAAAGAACATTGTCGGAGATATGGGCCCGGGGGTATGCGAGGTGAGGGGAATCTACCTTCCCATCCTGCCACGTGTCCCTACAACCTGGTCCTACCCCCGCATTCCGCGAATCGCAGGAGCGGCCGGGGGAGGGGACCTCGGGGTGCCACGTCATGCCCCTCGGGCCCTTGCACCGCTTTGCCCCGAGGCCCTCGCCCAGCCGCCATTTGGTAGGGGTAGCAAGCGAGGAGGGGGCCCAGGCTGAACCTCCTTTAATGCGCGCAGCGCCCCAACTGCCCCCTGTCGCATTTAATGCAGTGGGGCAGACGTGCGGCGAGCCCGACTGGCGCGCGATGGTCAAGAATGACCAATCTATGACCGGCCTGACGCCGGTCACGTCTGACTGGACAGACAACCGTGCTCCCACGTCGCATCTGCTTCTGGCGGAGTGGAAGTAGGTATGACCCGTCCCATCGGAGGGTCATTCAGAGGGCGGCCACCACAAGTCTTCACCCATTAATGAGGGATTGACATGGCTGTCCCTCGTGTCAGGCGAGGGACGGCGCTGGGCCCCGCTTAAGGACAAGCTGTGGTTTAGCTTCCAGGCGAAGGCTCGGGTCGAGTTCCGGTCAAGGTAGGGCGGGTCCCCACCCGAGAGAAGAGTAGGTAGAGGTGGTGCATGTAGTATCTCCTTGAGGTATAAAAGGAGGATTTTGCCCACCGAGGAAGGGGACGACTCTCAGAAAACCTGAACTCGAGGAGGAGGGAAGTAAGAGCGTTCTCCGGAGTTTAGGAACCTTTGTAACTCTCAGTCTAAATCCCATACACAGGAGTAGGGTATTACACTTCATAGCGGCCCGAACCTGTATAATTTCGTTGTGTGCGAGCTAGCTAGTAGCCTTCGGGACGGATACGCGATTTCCAAAGGCGAGCTTCTTCCCCCGGCCGAACTCACGAAAGGGGGGTCTCACGATCCCCCGCTAGAGAGGATCACTCCTTGACAAATATATTGTGACCGGTTTGGATTAGTTAAGTGACACCAGATATATGGTTTTATGGTTCGAGGACGATTTTGTAACTCATGACAAGTTGAGATACCTTCGATGGAGTACTTTATTTTCCTTTCAGTTTCCACCCGAGCCAAACTCTCGCTCCAACGGAAAATGCCGTCTGCTCTTCCTCCTCGCCACACCCAAGCTCCCGCGCCGCCGGCCGCCGCCTCCGCCTCCGCCTGCCTCCTCCGCCGCCGGCGCGGCCGACTCCGTGTCAGCCTCTGTTACTGCAGAGCCTCCACGGAGCCTCTCGTGTTCGCCTCCCCGAGCTCTCCGTCGCTCCTCCGCTCCTCCGTTGCCGTCCCCGTCCCCTCCTCCCCGCGCCACGCAAATCGGGGGCCGGGAGACGGCGGCGGCCTCCTGGTAGTCACCGTCGCTGCGTCCGCGGTACGGCCCCCCTTGCTCCCAACCCTCACACATCTCATATCGCCTTCTCAATCCAGCGACATGACACTGGGGTAGCCTCCGGTAGCGATGGCAGCATGACGGCGTTGCTGCTTTGAAGGCGCAAGATTGATATGCGTAACGTGGTTTTGAAAGCGGGTTCTTGGCCAGCTTTTGCATCTGTGGATGGATGGATACTCTCTCCCCCCTGTGAAGAGTAAACAGCGGGTGGAACTGAAAACTTATCTGAATCGAAACTCATGATATGCTTTTAAGCTGTCGGTTTTGAATATGAATTAGAAACTGAAATGCCAATGAAACAGCATAATGTGATAAGGGTTTAAGGTTGGTTTTTCCACTCTATTTGAATCTATTATTTAGTACTAGTATCACATGTCTACCAAAAACAAAAAAGTTCTCCATTTACATTCTTGAAAAAAAAAAAAGATACCCAGACTGAAATAGAGTCATAGACACCCCCCCCCCCCTTTTTGTTGTTTAATTTTTGTAATTCTTGTAACCGTCAACTCCTTGCCAAATTGATTCTGACTTGATTCCTGCATGCGAAGCTTTCTGCTATATGATATTCTAGGAACATATCAGATCAAGAGTAGAGCAGTACTTAAAATTTAACTGGTTATGTGGTTGTGTGTTAAATTTGAATATATACAAGCTTTTTGTTTCACCATGATCTACATGTTAAATTCAGTTTTGTGTTGAATCAAATATATTTGCTTTATTAAAGAATATTCTTATACAGAAAAATGGTTGACAAGTGTACTCATTAACAATTTTGATTCCATTTTCACTTGTGCATGCCAATGTATACTCTTAATTTGATAGTGCGTAACTTTGGAACCTTACTCTTGCTGACAGTTGCTGTCTTATATAGGTTGTTCTTTCTGCATGCTTTGTATTCCTTTCAGCAATGCGCTCCATGTTGGTACGTTCATCTAATTTGCTACTACCTCTCTTATGGGACCGGTAACAGTTACAGATATGCCGACATTTTTAGGAATGCAAGAAGGCAGCAGAATCTCTTGAGAAGTCCTTCGGTTCAGCAAGAGAGAAGCTTCCTGAAACCATGGCTTCAGTGAAACTAGTTGGAAGGGAGATCTGTGACTTGGCTGTGGATCTCAGTAATCTAAGGTGAGTAGTTGATATGTATCAGCCATCACTTGTATTACTTTCATTTATGTGTTCTTGGAGAATCTTATAATCGTCCATAATACACATTCGTGCATCTTGACGAGTAGATTTGGATGATTAACTCTTCACAAGTTACACAAACAAACCTACACAGCCATCTATGGCAGTATCTCAACTTGCATTCTGACAATTTGCCTGCTTGCTTGTGCACAAATTTAGCAGTGTCATGTATATGTTTGATCACATAAGGCATCGGGAAGACAACTACTAATGCCACCATTCTGTAGATCAGTCAAGAATTGAGGAAGGGCGTCCAAAGTTCCATGAGCGTTGTTCATGCAGCCGATGCTCAACTGCACCAACTGACGACCTCTGCCCCACAAGGTGATTGATTTATCCATTGTTGGAATTAACTTCCAACGTGATGTACGGAATCATATCTCCTTTTTTTTCCCTTCTTTTGCCCTGATTGTTTCTTTCACTTGAATAGGAAATCAGAGGGTGACTAGTAATCGAAAGAGAGCAGCAGGAGAGCCTTTGCTCGCTAGTACCGTGAGAGAACTCCGTGAGTTAATTGCAGAATTACACTCAGGATTTGGAGTAGCCGTCAGCATCGCGGGCCTTTTAACGTGGGCATCAAATTTTGTTTCTAAGCGTCCTAAGAATCGCTCATAGCGAGACACAGAAAGTAGATAGAGGTCATGAGGGCTTCTGGCCGGTGTAAGTGATACTGAATCATTTTGCTTGAAGTTAGATCATGATCATTTATCCTGGGTTCATGAATTATGATGAGTTCATGGATTATGAAGATTGGCTTTCAAATGAAAATGGTTAATTTGAAGAGAGCTGGACTGTGTTGCTTTGCAATCCAATCCATACTAATGAAAGACAGACAATTAAGGAAATTGTGAAAAATGAATCCATACTAATGAAAGACAGACAATTAAGGAAATTGTGAAAATTGGGATGAATCATTTTGCTTGAAGTTATGATCGTGAATCATTTAACTTAGTACATGAATTACTATGAGTGCATGGATTATTTAGATTGGCTTAAAAAGGTAGAGTTGGACTGTGTTGCTTCGCAATCCAATCCATACTAATGAAACAAATTCAAGAAAATTATGAACAATCCATAGTAATGAAAGACAATTAAAATTATTTTTGATTTCAAATTGGTAGGGGCCGCGCGGACGCGTACCCCCTCTGCCACAAATTATGACGTCCACTCTCCCGCTTGGGGAGATGGTAAACCAACCCACCCACAAAGTGCAATGTGAGGCATTGATCTAGGCCATGAGCCTTTCTTGATCGCCCATTGACCCCGTCCAGGTAAGTATGTTCCAACGTTGCCCCGTGGGATGCTTAAATAGGGATAACCACTTCGTAACGATACCTGAGTCCCCGATACGGTACTAAACTTGATTTACTTCGCATAACATACTCCCACGGATTGGCCGGAGCGTTGAAACTAGGCCTACCCACTAAGGCCCAAATAGGCCCACTGCTCGATGGTAATTTTCGGAAGGATCCCTGTAGTCCGGATATTTTCTAAAAACACCCTGTACATGACCGTTACCACTTGCTCGCGGTCTAAAGTTTTGTAAAAACACCCCTTTCCGGACAGTTATCATGAGTAAAATTATTAATTACATTGGCAGCGACACATATTTTTACAAAAAAGACACTAATGGATTTTTGCGATTAGCCCCCAAGCATTTTTGCAAAACTTGTTTGGAACTTTGGCCACCGCCGCCGGCGCCGCGACGCGACGACGGGAAGGCGCCGGCCGCCGGCGGCCAGCGGCGCTGGCGGTGAAGCCGATCGAGGAGGCGTCCTCCACCGCTCGGCGACCAACCGCCGACGGCGACGGCGATGGCGACAGCGCGCACCATGCAGGGGGCCCCACTCTGTTTACTCCCCCGCGTCCGCGACCGCGAAGTCTCCGGTCTCCGCCGCGCCCGCGTCGCCTCGCCCTGACCACCACCAGTCCACCGCCGCGGCCCACACGGCACAGCCTCTCACAAGGGAGGAAGGGGGAAGTGAGCCCCCGCGCCACGGCCACGCGCCGCGGGCTTCCTCCTCCTCCTCCTCCTCCTCCTCCCCGAGCCGCACGCCGATCGATGGCCGCGCGGCGGCGCCTCCTCCTGCTCCTCGTCCTCCTGCTGTGCCGCCTCGCCGCCGTCCTCCCCACCTCCGAAGGTACGCACGCGCTCCCTCGCTCCCGCCCACCCCCTGTTCGATGAAATCGCTGGCTCGCTCGCTGCGGCGGTCTCGCTTGTTCGATCGATTGCGATTTTTATTTTATTTTTTTTTGGGTGCAGTGGAGGCCTTGCAGGGTTTCATGGCAGGGTTCGCCGGCGGCAACGCGGCGTTCCAGAGCTGGGACGCGTCCGCGCCCAACCCTTGCACCTGGTTCCATGTCACCTGTGGCCCGGGGAACCAGGTCATCAGGCTGTAAGCATCTACTGTACTACCTGCTGCAGTGTTGATCACTAATTCACTGGTGCTACTGCTGAATGAATTTGCATCTTCGCGCAGGGATCTCGGGAACCAGTCGCTGTCCGGCGAGTTGAAGCCCGACATTTGGCAGCTGCAAGCATTGCAATCCCTGTGAGTTTGTCCATGTTTATTTGCTCATTTCTTCCATGGAGAATATTGGGTTGCATTGCATCTTTTCACCGATCAGACAGCACTGGTAGTACTCATGCCTGCTATGAATGTTTCCGTTATGCCCAGTGATGTGGCGTATGCAATGCATATGCCCTTTTTCCATCTTGCCTCTCGCTTATTATATGAGTAAAAAGAATGTTGTTTCTGGTCTATCTCTTCTATGAATCAGTAGCGTTTGATCATCCTTTAGGAATAAAAGCTGACGATGCATCTTGCGAAAGCATACTATACAATATCACTATGAGTCTTGCATTGGAATGTTGGTCATTTTCTATTCTCAGATTTGATGATTCTATGTGACTAATGTATCTTTTGGTAGCAGGGAACTTTATGGCAATAGCATCAGCGGGAAAATACCTAGCGAGCTTGGGCGGTTAGCTAGCTTGCAAACTTTGGATCTCTACTTGAACAATTTCACCGGTGAAATACCGAATGAACTGGGAAATTTATCGAAGCTCAGTAACCTGTAAATATTCTCATCTCTGCTTCAAATAATTTGTATTTGATGTTAAATTTATGTCTTATGATATCACATAGCCAGTGAAAAATTAATGTAGAATTTACTACTCCTGCTCTTTGACTTTGCGTGCAAGGATAGCCGTCTGAACAACAATAGTCTGTCAGGTGCAATTCCCATGTCATTGACAACAATCCAAAATCTTGAAGTGCTGTAAGTTCTCTGCTACACCATGCCGCAAGATGCCGCAATTGAGACGCTGATATGCTAATATATTCATTCAGGGACTTGTCACATAACAACTTGTCGGGAATAATACCGACCAATGGTTCATTTTCACACTTCACCCCAATCAGGTTTGCTTGGCCTGGAGTAGTGATTATGTCGATTCAACAATGCATTATGACTGGTGTGAAATTTTGTAATTGTGTCTTGCAGTTTCTCCAATAACCCACGTACTTTCGCAAATTCTTCTGATTCGCCATCAAATAACTCGGGAGCAGCGGTGCCATCAGGTTGTCTGTTAATTCCTTACTCTGGAGTGATAAACTGCATTTATTTCTGCAGTGTTTCATTATTCTGTGTAGAATCCCATACATAACCCAGTTGCCAAGTGCCAAGTGTTCCAAAATTGTCTATAACCTGTTGTTGCAGCAGCCTGGGCATTTGGAATTCATCTAGTTTTTGCTCTTATCTCATCATCCATTTCGATGCTATTTATCTAAACAAATAAGTCGGAAAAACACCACTTTAATTCTTTCGAATTGGCGGTTACTCTAGTTGATTCTGTATTTGGCACTTGTTAACTCAGGAAGAAGTAGTGCATCCAGCATTGGAACAATTGCTGGTGGAGCTGCTGCAGGTGCTGCCATGTTGTTTGCTGCTCCTATTGTATTGTTCGCATGGTGGTGGCGGCGTAAACCACATGACCAATTCTTTGACCTACTAGGTCAGTCTACGTGAGAACTTTTGGCAATCTCTACGGTTTCCTTTGTTATTTGATGGCATTCCTTTTTCTCTATGCAGAAGAAGAAACTCCAGAAGTTCATCTGGGTCAGCTTAGAAGGTTCACACTGAGAGAACTGCAGGTGGCAACAGATAACTTCAGTCAAACTAATTTGCTAGGGAGAGGAGGCTTTGGAAAGGTCTATAAAGGAAGGTTGTTAGATGGTTCATTGATAGCAATAAAAAGACTAAATGAAGATCGAATTGGAACTGGAGAGCGGCAGTTCCTAATGGAAGTCGAGATCATCAGCATGGCCGTGCATCAAAATCTCCTACGCCTCCAGGGGTATTGTATGACACCCACCGAGCGGCTGCTTGTGTATCCTTACATGGAGAATAAAAGCCTTGAGACACGCTTACGAGGTATTTTCTGAATATTCTGCACTTGAACTATGGAGTATAGAGGTGTTAGTTTCTCAAATATGTGCAGTGAGATGATACTTTCAATAAAGATCTGATTACAACATTAAAATAAGTTTCATGTCAACTACACAGAGTGCTCTGATTCACAACAACCACTTGACTGGCCAACACGAAGAAAAATCGCGTTAGGGTCTGCAAGAGGGATCTCTTACTTGCATGAAGGATGTGATCCCAAAATTATCCATCGAGATGTCAAAGCTGCTAACATTTTGTTGGATGAAAAACTTGAAGCAGTTGTTGGTGATTTCGGTCTGGCTAGAATTATGGATTACAAAGTTTCCCATGTTGTAACCGGCGTGATGGGGACATTGGGGCACATTCCCATGGAGTACCTGACTGCAGGAAGAACTTCAGATAAAACTGATGTTTTTGGGTATGGAATCATGCTTTTTGAACTGATTAGTGGGAAAAGGGGATTTGATCTTGTTGGTCTTGCAAATGAAGAAAATGCCAGAGTGCATGATTGGGTAAGTCATGCTTTGTTGAATCTTCCCTTGTTTTGCAGGATATGTCTTTTCTCAAGCTATTATATTCTGTCAGTTATATTGACTACCTCCCATGCTTTACATTTGACATTATAATTTGCACTATAATCTTTAGTTTCGATTCTTATTTCTAGGGACAACATGCTAATGTCTTCAATGAACCACTTAATTCATACTGTATTACTGAAGCAATCCTTATGAAACTCCAACTTTCTTCAATAGATCAAACATGTCTACCTCCCTAATCATTAGTAGTTCGCACGATTTCATTTGTTAAAAAACAATATTGACTGCAAATTATGCAGATATTTACATTCTGTTGATCTCTTTAACATGGAACGACCAACATACACTGTAAACTGGTTACCAATTCTTACTTCATATTGAATTGAATTAAAAAAAATGATACAGTGCTATTCCTGTAGAGCATAAGCATGAACTCAGTGATAAAAGAGGGCCATATTCTTTTTATTATTCAGGTGAAGAAACTGCTGGAAGAGGACAGGCTGGAGGTGCTGATTGACCCAAACTTACTGGAAATCTACAATGGTGGGGAACAGGGAGTGCGAGAGGAGATGAGGTTGCTGGTGCAGATTGCGCTGCTCTGCACCCAGGAGTCCGCTCCAAGCCGCCCCAGAATGTCAACGGTGGTGACAATGCTAGAAGACGGTATCGCGGAGCACTGGGATGCATGGCAAAGGAAGACGATTGTGCAGGCAAGCCTGCAAGGAGGACAGGGCGTTTCTGAGGCTCGCAATGACTCTGTTGCAAATCTCCCTCCAGACACATTGTCTGGTCCAAGGTGACTGCCACCTTAAGGACTATGAAGGGTGGTTCTTTTGTAGAGCTTAGTGAACTTAGACAGAACACTTGCCATTCTTAAAAAAACAGCAGATTATATGTTTTCTTGTAGCATGTGTATGTATTTTAGTTTTTCCCCTTTTTTTCAAGTAATTCATAATCACTACTAGACACAGGGCTTTCAGAAACTGTTCAGAAACCACATCATAGTTATGCTAACGCATCAATACATGTGGTTGTGCTACTCCAGGATCATCAAAGGCGGTTATTTAACCCTCTCTGAAAAAAAAACATAACTAGAGATGGCTCGAAGGTGAGCTGTAACCTATTGCCAGAGATATATCAATTTTGAATCAAAGAGTACTCTAAATCTGGCCATTTCCTATTCATTTTGCAACACCTGATTTTATATAATATTCTTGTGAAGTGTTAACTTTAGGTAGTCTTCTATATTTTCATGGAAAGAGTATATGCACTACCATTTTTTTCAAAAAGATAATAATCTTGTAAACATTCCCAATTTGACGCATTCAGCCCAACAACTTGAATCATCGGGTGTTGGTTTAGTCCTTAATGCCTTTTTGTTGCTAAGTGGAGTAAGTAATTGCCATAAAACCTTTGATGTTCTCAATCCCCAGAGCTACAAGATGCAACAAGTACCAAACAACCTACATGCTTTTTCACCAGAAGAGTCAACATTAGACATTACAAAATGAAGTAACAGGGGACAAACCGTAATATCTTGCATTCTTCCGCAGTAATTGAGCCGAATTCTCCACAAACTGTAGCGCATAATCCATTTCTGTCTACACACCAAGCAGTGAAGCAACTCCATTTGCTGTTTCCCCGGCACAACTGGACGTATAAGCATCAGCGAGGCCTGGAATGTGGCACTTGTAAGGATCCACAAACTTCCGCACAAACTTCCTCTCACTCATCGCGGCTGTGTTGTAGTAATCCAACTCACAATCCAGCAATCCCTTCATCCTGAGAACCTTGAGCAAGTGATGCCGAGGCAACAATCGCCGCTCAAGGCTGTACAAAAACAACACTGGCCTATGCGCAATGTACCGTCCCTCCAAACCAACATCCCTCTTCAAGAATTCAGCGGCTTGCCGTATCTTTTCCTCCGATGAGGCCACCAACTGCGGTGCCTTCCTGATGATCATCAACAATTCATCCCGCGAAAACCCAAGCTCCTCCATCACCTGTATCTTCCTCGCAACGGACTCCTTGCTCGTGAAAGCCACCGCGATGAGCCCATGCCGGAACATCCTCGAGCTGCGGTCCAGGCCTAACTCCTCCACCCGTGCCACGGCGTCCCGGAGATAGATAGGGTTCGCGGTGAAGAGCCTGCTGGTGTACAAGGGGAAACTAGTGGCAAAATCACTCATCCCACATTGCTTTAGCAATTCCAGGTTCGGCTTCACCACCTTCTCGAGGTCGGAGCCGAGTAGCGAGGAGTTCATCCTGAGGGCCTTGAGGATCTTGTCGAACGAGCCCACGATCTGGAGCCAGAACCCTAGATTCGTGCCGACGGAGCTGGACCGGAAGCAGGTGAGGGCGAGCGGGACGAGGCGCGCGATCTGGGAGCGGGAGAGTCCCAGGCCGCCGAGCTCGTCGACGCGCCTGGCGAGGTTGCTCTCCACGTCGGCGCAGAGGAAGCGCGGGTCTGCGGTGGCGACGGCGGCGATCTTGCGGGGCGGGAGGCCGAGGTCGGAGAGGAAGGCGAGGACGGCGTCGGGCTTGGAGGGGGACCTGAGGTGGGAGAGCTTCTTCGAGGCCTTGCGCGCTTGGGCTCCGGTGAGGCCCCAGGTGGCGACGAGGTAGTCCTCGACGGCGAAGGGTTCGGGGGAGACGGGCGCGGCGGTGGTGGAGAAGAGGAGGAGGCGGCGGAGGGAGGAGAGGGGAGAGATTGCGGCGGTGGGATGAGGATACGCTGGCCGGAGGAGGAGAGAAATCATATGCCTCCGGAGGTGGTGGACCATGGCGGCGGCGGCGCAATGGTTTGCCGGCGGCGGCGCAAGGGTTTGCCCGCGGCCGCGTGAAATCGCAATGTTTACGTGCAGTAACGTTGGTGGGCCATGTTTAACGGCCCATTTGAAATGGACGAAGGCCTTATTTTCGGCTGTGTATGTTCGCGTGGGGAAAGTCCGCTTTACGTTCCCGAAGGTTTTAGAGCGTCATCTAACTCGTATAGCTAGGATAAAATTAAGTTTCTCGGTCGTTCTCACTCTGTCTTAAATAAAAAGAATTTTTAAAGAGATATAATATATTTTAGTACTATGTGTTTTAAAATATAAGAGACCCTCCAAAATTTGTAGGACGGAGGGAGTGTTTAAGTTGGTTTTGACTTGTATATCGCCTACATTACTTGTTGCCTTATTTTTCATCCTATATCCATATGGCTCCTACACGATGTAGAGGCAAAATAATAAGTAAATAAAATAAAAACACCCGTGGAAATTAAGTCACTAAGAATCTTGTTAGAAAAATATAAAACAATATTATGCATTATTCTAAGCACTAAGATTTTAAATCATAGTACTCACAAATACTATGCACGCGCGAATAGGCTTTCAATAAAATTTTAGTGGTAGATGCGTGTCACTGATCTCTGTCTCTTTGGGCATGTCATCCATGTAATAAAAAAAACCTTAAATTCAGCGGTTCAACTTGGGTGTGCAAATATATGCATGAGTGTGGTGTGTACATATGCATCATCCGTGTAATCGGAAAAAAAAGGCAAGAGATGAGAAAGAAACTAGAGCAATATAAAATTGCGTGTTTTTGCGTACGCGTTAATTAGAAAAGAGAAAATTTTACAAAAACTCAGGTTTTTGGGTATCTATAATGCAAAACCCCAGGTTTTACAAATTGTTTCATAAAATCCTAAGTTTTGGGTAAAGTGTTTCATAAAACCCCATCTAAAAGCTTATATTGTCTATCCAACTAACATATTTATCTATAACAATTGTAAAAATGGTATGAGATATTTTTTTTTAAGTTCATGTACACGTGAGAGCATTACCAAGAAATCCCTACAGCTACTCCCAATTTCAAACTTTTGGGTTTTTTCTAAGATAAAAAATGGATCCAACAGATATCAAAACTATAGCTCTGAAAAAATTTGAGACCCTAATTCCGTGCTTTCAACAGTAGTTGATGATTATAGTATGATTTTTTTTACATTTAATCAATTATTGAGTTAGGATTATATTGAGTTTCTAGTGCACTAAAAAGTAAGAAAAAAATTAAGCTAGACGAGAGAAATGTGTGCTTTGAGTCGACTAATGTGAATTTATGAAAAATAATCATATGTAACAATGAAATAGGAGTATTTCATATAAATACGAGGTTTTTCTGAAATATTTTGTTCTAAAATAATGCGTTCTTGGAAACAAAACTCGTCAGAAAAAATTGCCTTTGGTCCAAGAAAAAAAAAAGGAAGAAATACTCGTATGCATTTTGTTGCGCCATAGCCGCTAGTCCCCGGCTCCCCGCCCTTCCCACCCCTATCCCCGCCGCCGCCACTCCCTCCCCGGCCATCGCCGTCGCCGTCGCCGTCGCCGCTGCAGCCGCCAGCCATGCTCCACCTCCAGAAACACCTCCTCCTCCTCTCCCTCCCTCCCCGCGCCACCGCCTCCACCCTCCTCTCCCTCCGCCACCATGGCCTCTTCTCCCTTACCCGCTTCTCCGCCGCCGCCGCCGCCGCTAAATCCGCCGGCCACTTCGCCGTCGAGGAGTACCTCGTGGCCACCTGCCACCTCACCCCCGACCAGGCTACCAAGGCCTCCAAGTCCATCTCCCACCTCAAGTCCCCGTCCAGGCCCGACGCCGTCGTCGCCTTCCTCGCCGGCCTCGGCCTCTCCGCCGCCGACATCGCCGCCGCCGTCGCCTACGACCCGCGCCTCCTCTGCGCGGAGGTCGACAGGACGCTCGCCCCGCGCCTCGCGGAGCTCGCGGGCCTCGGCCTCTCCCCCTCGCAGATCGCGCGCCTCGTCCTCGTCGACCCCGCCCGCTTCCGCCGCCCCACCGTCATCTCCAAGCTCCAGTACTACGTCCCGCTGTTCGGATCCTTCGAGACCCTCCTCCAGGCGCTCAAGAACAACTCCTACCTCCTCAGCTCCGACCTCGAGAAGGTTGTCAAGCCCAACGTCGCGCTCCTGCGGGAGTGCGGGCTAGGTGCTTGTGATATTGCTAAGCTGTGCATCCCGTTGCCGAGGCTGCTCACCACCAGCCCAGAGCGTGTCCGAGATATGGTGGCTCAAGCAGAAAACGTCGGCGTGCGCCGTGGCTCCAAGATGTTCAGGCACGCTATTCTGGCCGTCGCGTACATCAGCGAGGAAAAGATCGCCGCCAAAATGCAGTTCTTGATGAAGACATTAAAGTGGTCAGACGCAGAGGCGAGGATTGCGGTGTCCAAGCTTCCTGTGGTGCTGAGGAGCTCGGAGGACAAGCTGAGCCGTGTGTCGGAATTCTTGATCTCTGAGGTCGGGTTGGAGCCGGCATACATTGCTTACAGGCCGGCAATGCTCACTTATAGCCTGGAACGCCGGCTCATGCCCCGGCACTGCGTTCTGAAGTATCTTAAGGACAATGGATTGATAGAATCCGACAAGAGCTACTATAGCGCGGTCCAGGTGACCGAGGAGGTCTTTGTGGAGAAATACATAAGTCCATACGAGGACACTGCGCCGCACCTTGCTGAAGACTATGCTGCTGTATCCAGCGTAAAGATACCCACCAGATTCAGATTGAAAGGACCAAAAACAGGCCATGCAAGTGCGCAAACTGCCTAATTCTTGCCACGAGTAGTGAGCTGGTAAGTCCTCTTGCAGTGTTCTTTGCCTGACTGGTTGTTGAGTGCGCTGGTTTTGCTGTTGCTAGCCACCAACAGAACTGAACTGATAATTAGATTCTTGAATTAAGATATGCCATCTGGTAGATATGTAACCATGGCACTGTTATGAACCGGTTCATCGTTTTGTCACATGTGTGCAATCGTTCATTCGAATGGGCTCATCCATCTGTGGTTGTATGAATTTGCCAATGAAGTCATCTGGTAGATATGTGGCACCGTTATGAACCAGTTCATCGTTTTGTCACATGTTTTGCATATTGTTCATTCCAACAGCTCATTCATCTGTGGTTGTATGAATTTACCAATGAAGTTAGTCTTGAACAACTAGCTTTGAGCATATTTAGGAGTATGTGTTTACACATTCCCATCTATGCATGTTTCATTTGCTCTTGTTTTTTTCTTCTTCTACTAGCAATCTAGCATATACTATGAGTCCATGACACTTCAAAAATTTCCATTCTGATGCAAACAGTGTAGGCAATCATAGAATCTCTTTGTGAAATCATGCTCATATTATTCATATGAAATGTCTTGATTAATTGATACAAGAGGCATATAGATACATGCTCTGAGTCTCTACCATGTTCTACTTGATGTACTGTGACATCCACCTGAAGCCATCGCCGTAGCCCATCCGGCGGACGACGCTGCACATGAAGACCTCGACCGGCCGCACTCCGGTTCCTGCAAGGTTGACATTGCCCTTGCCGGTGGTGAGGCCGGTGAGCCCGAGGTAGTAGCACAGCTCCTGCTCGGGCACCGCGTACGGGATGTCTATCTTGTTCCCGAGGACGAGGAACGGCACGCCAGCGAGCGCGTCGTCAGACAGGAGGGCGTCCAGCTCCATCTTCGACTCGGCGAACCGGCACCTGTCGGCAGCGTCCACCACGTAAACTACTGCATCAACCTGTCAAGCAGACATGAAGCTTATGAAGAAGCAGCAAAAGTGGCTCACTTCAGACTTTGAAGAGGGAAGTAGCTACAAATGCTGGAAAAACAGGTGGTATTTGGCTATTGACAAGATATGCAACAGCATGTGACAATTGACAAAGTATGCATGAGCTGGCGCCACCACTGTGATTACTGTGTACTGGCTGATTGGGAAGCTGTGTTCATACTAGCATGAATTCTCAGGCAAGCGCCCAACTCAATCCCTGTTCATTATGAGTTTCAAAGGAAATAAACTTGTTGGTCAGTCCTGTAAATAGTCCATTTTCTCCTACTCTATCAGTATAAAAGGCAAACCTTTTGCCCGCCTTAGAAAAAAAAAGAAGAAAAACTTGTTGGTCAGTCATGAATATACACATGCTGGCTGTACGACTAAAGAAACATGGTACAGTTCCTCCCGCAATTGATACCACTATCAGTTTTTTCTTTGTTTTGTTGTAACAATATGCAGAGTTGGGTTATGCACTAATATATATGACTGTCAATCTGTCATCCCTTAATAAGGTACTAGTACTAACCTACATTATTATTCTTTTTTTTTGTTCAGATTCCACCAAGGTTATTATCGGCGCCAAATATTAAAAGTAAGCTTCCTCCAGTCGCCAGGGGGCTCACACAATCGCTGCCACCGGGAGGGGATACTTCGCTGGTCACTCATGTGGTGCACCCATCTCTTGACGATGAATCCCCGTCAAGTCGATGTCCGAAGAAGGCGATGCCCAAAGGCCACGGTGAGGCCCCGCTTAAGAAAAAAGGAGTGATTATATCCTATGTATACCTTTTGAGAAACACCCAGGGATCTTATGAATATCTTCACAAGGTGGTGGGTTAGACGACTAGGGTTCGAAGCCTTACCCCTTCTATTTATTTGATATTAGGTCCTTCCCTAATATTTACGTCTTTTTTATGTATACCTTAAGTCCATCAGTATAAGTATTCTATTTGTTATTAATTTACCAAATAATAAATATAATAGAGGTGCTTAATTTATTAAATTTAGATAACTTTGGGTTAGATAAAGATTATTATTTATCAAGTACCATGGTATTATTTATAAAAGTTTAGCTATATAAAGATAACTTATACAATATTTTTTTGGTACAAATACCATTAAGAATAAGTTTAAAATTTAAAAATATTATTTATATATACACAAATTAATTTATTTAGAGATACGTTGAATCTTTGGTCATGTGGCTAATGGGCGGTTGACGACACACGGTTGCGGTCCCAGCCCACCTCCGCCCCTTTTTTCGGTCCCGAATATGTTATACATATGTATAAACTAACTTTGTAGATGTATCTATACCACTTAAAAGGAAGCAATGGTAGTGGCAGATTTTCTGCCACCACCACCCCTATCAATTACATGTAAGTCCCTATTTGTCAGGGTTTACCTTACCGCGGGTTACCGCGGTTACCGGGCTTACCGCGGGGGTACGGTAATATAAATACCGCGGTAACCTCCTTAAATACAAATAAATTTAAAAAATAATTTGATTTTTTGATAAATTTTGCACGGTTTTGTACGGTTTTTCACGGTTACCGCGGTTACCGCGCGGTAACCGTGCTTGCCGCCGGGGTGCGGTAACCCCGGCCCCGGCGGTAAGGTAAACCCTGCTATTTGTACTCTTTAAAAGAAGAAGAGAGTACTAGGCCCTCTTTGTTTAGGCTTATAAGCCAACTTATAAGCCAAAAAGTCTAAGCCTAAATAAACAAGCAGTTTTTTGTTTGGCTTTTTTAAGCCATAAGCCACTCTAACACTATTAAGCCAAAAGCTAGGTTGGAGAAGCTTTTTCAGCTTATATAAGGTAGATGTATGACTCCACCACTAAACTTAAGACATTAAATCCACTGGCTTATAAATCATATAAGCCAATAAGCTGACTTAAAAATCTAAACCAATAAGCCTAAGCCTAAACAAAGAGGCCCTAAGAGAAGCTTTTATTTCAACTAGAGAGAAATAGTAACTACATCAAAATTTGAAATGTAGGATTTGATTTGAGGATAAATTTGAGGGGTTTTTTTTCCAAATTTTTTTCACATAATGATATAGCCATGTTAAGTTTCCCCATGTGAATATGTAATACCATATGATTCTCTTTTTAATCCCGTTACAAAGTATGGGCATTATGCTAGTATATAGAAAATTTATGTCTCTAATTCTACTATTATAAAAATTGAAGATGTTTTTGCCGGTATTTTGATACGTCATCCGTGTATGAGTCGGTTTTTAAGTTCGTTCGCTTTTGGAAATGCATATCCGTATTTGAGTCGGGTTTTAAGCTAGTTCACTTTTAGAAATACAGAAAGAGTCATATAAGAAATCTTTTTAAAAAAACTCGCATGCTAATTTGAGATGATCAAATTTCTAATTGCAGCTTATGATTTTCTAGAAAAATATAGATCCAAACGAATTCACACAGTGAATTTCACCTTAACTAAACCGTATAACAATAATAAGATTAAAATAATCTTCAGCCGTTGCAACGCACATGCATTTTTTCTAGTATGTATATACTTTGAACATATAAAAAATCTATAACTTTATATGTATATATAAAAAAGTTTATATATGTACATATAAACTTTGTGCATATATGCATTAAAAAATTGTAAAAAATAGATAAATGTATGGGCCCGGAAACTGAACCGCGTGCAGCTAATTAGCGATTTCGGTGACTAGGACTAGGAGGGGAGCAAAGAAAGCAAAAAAACCAACCTGGGCGTAGTAGTCCCTCCAGACGCGGCGAGCGATCCGGTGGCCGCCGAGGTCGAACGCCTTGAACCTGATCCGCCCGATGCTCAGCTCCTCCGACGTCGGGTGCTGCGTCGGCTGGTGCACCGCCAGATTCTGCACACAAACACAACACAGCCCAACCAGCCATCACCACACAATGAACACTCATGAGCACAGGCATATATGAATCTAGGAGTAGCTTTTGATATCATCACCATCAGCCTTTGCAAATCAAACATATGTGGCCTTTGCAAATCAAACATATGTGCAGCGAGCGATCGATCTATATAGGCCCTATCGTTTGGCTTTTTTCTTAATAAGCTAAAACGGCTTATTAGATAATAAAAATAGATTTGTAGGTAAAATTTTTATATATGTGTTCATGGTGACTTAAAAGCCAATGCTGAAAAAAAAACTACGTTGAAAATATCTTAAAATCAATCTCAAAATTAAGTTTAAAAATTTAAAATTTGGCATTTTCTTCGGTTGATTAGGCCATCCGATGGGAGCCTATACCTCTTGTGAGAGCATGTAGAAGAGGGTGGTTTTGCCGGCGTTGTCGAGGCCGAGGAAGAGGATCTTGGCCTCCTTCTGCCACAGCCCGATCGACGCCAGCACGTCGTAGAACCAATCCAGCAGAAACGACATCTCCAGGTATGTTATGTTCTTCTTCTCTTCTTCCTGTTGTTGATTTGATTTCACCAGCTTTTTTCTAGCTAAACCTATCTTTCGATCTTTCCTTGCGCGTGTTCTTTGTATTTGTAGTTACCCGGATTCACGAGATGGCAACCGGGTGCCAAGGCCACGCTGTGAGGAGTCCACGGCCGCAACGTACGCGTCATCTGGCGAATCTGGTGCGTTGGTTTCCCATCCGACGGGAGTCCCTCGATTGCTTTCGTGGTGCCGCCAGCCTACGATGGGTCGTTACTGCGTCGGTCTCTGTAGACCGTGGAAATTAAGCAAACCTACACGAAATCATGCTAGTCAATCGAATTTGTCTATCTTAATTGGTGTGTTTTTTTTAAGAAACAAGTTCTAGATAGTAACTTTTTTTTCTCGAGCATATGGGCTTTCTTTGTTATAGGGGTAGGAAATTTAAAAGATTTCATTCATATGGAAAAGAAAATCCTATGGAAGCCTTTGAAACAAAGGATTGAATCATATCCAATCCTTTAAAATTTCAATGGAATAGATAATCCTATGTATATTTTAGAGGAAAGTTAGCAAGAGGTCTAACCTCTTGGAAAATTTTCGTTGAGTCTATCTCATTCATCTGATTCCTGCGCTTTTCCTATAGTCCAATCAAATGGTCATTCATATGTTTTGCAATCTTCTATTTTACAATTGTATTCCTGCCAGAATTCTATGTTTTTCATATTCATATGTTTTTTCATTCTTACGATTCAAAGGGACCCTAAAGGATCACCGACCTATGCACATATGAACAAACACATACAAAGGTTGTTATCCATATATTATCATACAATATCTTAGATTCAAAATATCTTAAATTCAGGTTAAAATAGGAAATAAACATTACTGAGAAAAGGGCTCATGTTGGTATAATTTAGAAAAGGAAAAATATGTGAAATTAAATTGAAACGAAGTACAGATAGTTAAAAAACTTGCAAAATTAAAAAGAAAATTTAACTTACAAAATGTTAAACACATATAAAATAGAACGAAGGGGATTGTACTTAAATGTTTACATATTTAGGTATAACCAATATATTTATAGCGCAGAGATTGGAGGGTATTATTTGGATTAGTGATGCAAATACATCATGGTATTACCAAAAAAAAATTGTTGGCAGAGCTTGACTGGCTCTTAAATTATTCCTCAACTAGAAATCACATTGGGTTATTTAGGACCCTTTAAATCGCAGGAATAGAAAAAATATGAATATAAAAACACATGATTCTAATAGAAATACAATGATGGCAAAATATATAAATGGTTAAATTGGATCGTATAGACAAAGGATCGAATAAAATAGATATGCTCAAATCAAAATTTTCAAAAGGTTGAAACTCTTGTGTTCTCTGCAAAATCTACCTGTAATGAACCTTTGTATAGAAACTTCATAGCATTAAGAAAACCTCCTTTGAATCGAAGGCCCTTCAAAAATAGTAGTATTTCACATTTTCGCGATTTTACGAATTTGTCAGTGGCAAAGTAGAAAAAATAGCGGAACCGCAGGTTTCCTCTCTCCCCTAGTTCGCCGGCGGCGTCAAACCCTAGCGCCGCCGCCGCCGCCATGAACCACCTTCGAAACCAAATCCTTCTTCTCCGCGTCCGCTCCTCCAGCACCTCGCTCTCTCCCCTCTCCCCTCTCCACCGCCTCTTCTCCTCCTCCACCGCCGCCGCATCCATCGCCGCAGAACCCTTCGCCGTCGAGGACTACCTGGTCACCACCTGCGGCCTCACCGGGGACCAAGCGCGGAAGGCGGCCAAGACTCTCTCCCGCCTCAGGTCCCCCTCCAAGCCCGACGCCGCCGTCGCCTTCCTCTCCGGCCTCGGCCTCTCGCGCTCCGGCATCGCCGCCGCCGTGGCCGCCGACCCGAGGTTGCTGTGCGCCGACGTGGAGAAGAACCTGGCCAAGCGCGTCGCCGAGCTCGGTGAGCTGGGCATCTCGCGCTCCCAGATCGCGCGCCTCATCCCGCTCGCCCGTCAGTCCTTCCGCAGCAGCTCGCTCGCCACGAACCTTGGCTTCTGGCTCCCGGTCTTGGGCTCTTTCGAGAATGTGCTCATGGCGCTCAAGGCGAACGGAGCGATTCTTGGCTCCGACGTCGAGAAGGTGGTCAAGCCCAACCTGGCCCTCCTCCAGCAATGTGGGATACATGTCTGCGATTTCCCCCATACACGCCTGCCCACTGTGCTCTGCAGGCCACCCAACCATGTTCAAGAAGCTGTGGCACGCATCGGTGAGTTTGGCGTGCCACAGTACTCACCGGTGTTCCGCAATGCGCTTGTGCCATTTGCTTACCAAAACAAGGAGAAGCTCGCTGCCAAAATTGGAGTCCTTGAAATGTTTGGGTGGTCAGAGGACGATCTCTCGATGACTATGAGGAAGGGTCCTGTCGTCATGAACATGTCTGTGGAAAGGCTGAGGAAAAATGTGGAGTTCTTGACAAGGGATGTTAAGCTCGAGACGCGTTACATTGCTCGAAGGCCAATCATGATCAGTTATAGCCTTGAGCGTCGGTTGTTACCCCGGCATCGCTTGCTCAGGTTTCTCAGTGCAAAGGGATTGCTTGATGGTGAATTGGACTTCTATTCAGCGGTTGCATTGACTGAGAAGAAGTTTCTTGACAAGTTTGTGCATTCTTGCAAGTGTAGCATTGCAGATCCTGCTAATGCTTATGCTTCTAGCTTTGTTGGGGATGTTCTGTGAATTTATTGTCTGAGAGGACAACAGGAAAATGGGCTCATTCTTGTGCTGGGAGGGTACTGACAGGATTGTTGTGTTGGAAAGATCAAGGGTTTAGACTTATACTTTTGCTATCTCCTTCGTGCTCATTAAGGTTTGCTATCTCCTTCGTCCATTGTTGCAAAATTTCTTATAACTTTGCTCTAGGTTATCTTGTGTTGGCTAGTATCACTATTCACTGATTGATAAACAGGAACACTACAGCCTGTGGTCACCCTCTAGGTTGATGGAATGTTGAATAACATTTCCAGGAGTTAACATGCTTTTGTTTTATAATGCAGCATGTGTAGCTCTGTTGTTTGTATTCAGGATCCGATGTTTTCCTTCCCTAAACGGGTTTATCCATGTCTATGGCCTGCTGCCAGAATCCCAGTGCATATGCAGAAGAAAGAAGACAAAAATTAAACACTATGGTTATCATATGTGGTGGGTTTAGTTAGTTCCATAACTTGGGTAAAGTTTGGACAATGAGAGATGCTCACTGCTTTTCCTGGGGGCTGTTGTTATTTTCGATCTTTTCCTTTTCTAACAAAAAACTGTAATGACTGCCTTAGCTCTACCATGTTTCCTTGGGAGGGGATTAGTCTGTCCAAAACGATGCTAGAGATTAGGAATAAGTATTTACGTATTTCTCTTTTCCTCAAATAAAATGGGGTCACCAAGGAGGAACATCCAATCAATTTAATTATCAAGAACATTCCCAAATTTTAATTCAAAGAGGCCTCAAACTTGTGTAGTGGGGTACTGGAGAGTGTACCAACTTCCCCAGAATCTTTTTAGGAAATTAGTGGCATGTACCCAAGTCCCTTAAAATTTTAGAAGTCTTAATATTAAAAGAAGTGGTAGAAATGATCCTTGAATTTATCCAATATATGAGTTGCAAGCATGAAGTCGTGTCTTCCCCCCAAGAACAATGTATTCATATCTTCTAGTGTGCTTCAAAGTCAATAATCTCTATTCATAGGTCTGACATTTTCATCCGAGCAATAGTGCTGTTTACAATTGGTGACTGCCGTCACTATTGTTTCTCCAGGAAATTTCAACTCAAGTGCTTATAAGTTACTTATCACTGTTTTCCGATAGCCTTAGCCCTTGAGCGATATGGTTGTTACCCTGGCACTGCTTGTTCAAGCTTCTAAAGGCAAAGGGATTGCTGAATGTGAAACTTAGCTACTACAGCATTGCGTTGCAGGTGAAAAGAAGTTAATTGACAAGTTCATGCACCCCTACAAGATCCAGGCCTAGTGAGCAGATATGCTTGTTCTGGGAAAAATACCTGACTGAAGTTCTATTCTAGCAGATGAATGAGAACTAGAGAATGCGCTCACGCTCCCCATTGCTTTGTTGGAAGAACATAGGGTTTGCCATCCCCCTTGTACATTGCTATTACCCTTTTTGCCATTTTACCGTAGGTGATCCATTGTAGTACCACATGCACTACAATTGATTCCCTATAAAAATGCATTAATTGATTAGCTGAAGGAATTTTCTTTTAAAAAGTTGATGAGCAGCAGAGCTACAGTATGGCTCCCATCTTGCTAGGCATGGATTAGATACTGACATTTCCATGAGAAACATGAATGATTTGTTGAGCAAGCATGCTATTTCCCAGGTTTTAACTGTTTGTTTTTCAAATGCCTTCATGACACTATCTTAGTTTGTCTGAGATTCGTAGTACTATAATGTGTTGCATCACATACTACATTAGGTTTTTTTTGGATGGATTGAGTAATTATTTATGCATGGACTTGACATCTCTTTCTCTCTCTCTTTCTCTCTAGGATTGAATTGTTACATTTCGATATGAGCTTGCTCAAAGACAGGTTTGGTAATTTGAAACTTTATATTATTCATGGTTCCAGCCGTTCAATCCTTCATATCATCCAGAATTCCAGGGCTGGGGTTGCATCTGTAGCCCTTCATCAACCCCACAAAATTGCCTTGAAAATATGTTGACATCCAAGATCCAACCATCCGTATCAGGATAGGGGATCCTTGAACTGACTGTTGTTCACTACTTCACTCCATATGATCAACCCCTCGAAATTCCAAGACCAAAACCAATGGGCCTTTAATTAATCTTACATTGGTCAGCCTCAACTTTAGTTATGTAGGCCAAAATTATAACAGCTAAAGACAATTTATAGGCCAAAGTAGATACCAGGGGTTCACCTTTTCAATTGAGTGCTGGATCACGAGCCCCAATAGTATAACTTTTTCAGTCAAATTTCGATCAAATTTTACTATTTCCAATTTGAATTCTCAAAAAGCATTCAGATTTTCATTCAGAATCCACTTTCAGAAACCTCAAAATTCACAGTTTTCGTAAAAAAGAAAAACTAAACCCTGGTTGGTACCCAATGTTGATCTAAGATGGGACCAAATTACTAAATGGAAAATGGTCCGTAATTAGGTCCACACTACAAATCAGCCCTAAACTGCGGACTTAATTAAGGCTACAGAAATTATTTAAGCCCGTTACAAAATTTATTCGGCCCATTTAGTTTGCAAATGTAATACCTCGAATTGGGCCTAAAGTTTCCTTGTTGGGAAAAGTACACCGAAGGTCCCTCAACTTGTCATCGAGTTACAAAATCGTTCCCCAACCACAAAACCAGATATCGGAGGTCCCTCAACTAACGAAACAGTTCGCTTGAGGTCCTCTGATGGTTTTGGACCCGGTTTTGTCTGACGTGGTGGCTGAGTCAGCGTGGACCCCACGTGGGCCCCACGTGTCAGGTTGCCACATCATCACCCTTCCCCTCTCTCTCTCACACTCTTCTCTCCTCGCTCACGGCTCACTCGCTGCAGGGCGCGCGCGGCCGCTAGGGGGCGACGGCGAGGTGGGCGGTGGCGGCGACGGGGATGGGGATGAGAACAGCGGGGGAAGGGGAGGGGAGCGAGTCAAGGGCGGTGAGGGAGACCTTGTCGGCGGCGAGGCAATGGAGGGGCGAGGTGGGAGAGGAGGACGTCGGCGGCCCCACACACCCGCAACCACCCAGCACGCGCTGCAGATGCCTGGCGGTCCCTCGCGTGCCGCCGTTGCGGACGACGACGACGAACTCTCGCGTCTTCTCTCCCTGGCCGAGGCCGACCTCGACGCCGGCCACCTCTGAGCCGTGCCGCCCGCCTCGACCCGGACTCCCCGCGCGGCTCGCTCCTCCTCACCGCCGCCCGCCGCATGCTCTGTGAGGTGGGCCGTGACGGCGTCGTCGTCGTCGCCGGCCGCGCCGTCTCCGCCCAGTTCGCCACGGCTGGCGCGGACCCATCCTCTGGCGCCGCGACCACCGCCATCGCCACCATGGACGCCTCCGCCGGCGGCGGGGGAACTCCCTGCCGACGACCGGCGCCGACGGGGTGAAGCGGCGGGTGTGCTACTTCTAGCGCGCGACCACGACCTCTGCCGCTTCCACGCCGACGACCCAGCAGGACCAGATCCGGGCGCTCAAGCACTTCAACGTCGGCGAGGACTACCCCGTCTTCGACGGCCTCTACAGCTTCTGCCAGAGCTACGCCGGCGGCTGCGTCAAGCTCAACCACAGCCACGACATCGCCATCAACGCCCTCGAGCTCGCCCGCACGGCGACGCCGCCGCCCAGCTCCTCCCCCGGCGGCTGCCGCCCGCGCCAAGCTCCATCCCGCCGGCCGCGCACTTCTCCGCCCCCGACGGCCGCGCACTGCTCCGCCCCCCACGGTCGCTGCCCAGCTCCTCCCCGGCAGCTGCCGCCGGCGCCAAGTTCCACCCCTCGCCGCCGCCGGCTTCCTCTGGGCCCTCTTCCCCTCATGCCTCCCTCCTGCCCTCCCCGGCGGCGGCGCGGTATGGCGGAGCTCAAGGATGGCGAGGACGGCGCGGCGTCGTGGGCGGGCGCTGGGTGGCGCAACTCGAGAACGGCGAGGGCGGCGCGGAGATGGGGCGGGGGTCGTTGGCGGCGACCCCGACGCGGCGGCCTGATCACGCGTCGCGGCTGCCATCGCTGCCTCGTCGGCCGCCGCTCTCAACCCTGTCACGCCGCTCGTGGCCGACCCCTTCAACCAGTCACCGGCGTCGGCATCACCGGAGGAGGAGACCGCGGCCATCGCACTCGCGCAGAGAGGAGAAGAGTTTGAGAGAGAGAAGGAAGGGAGAGAGATGACTCATCCCCACACGTGGGACCCACGTGAGGCCCACGCTGACTCACACGCCACGTCAGACAAAACTGCGTCCAAAACCACCAGAGGACCTCAACCGAACGGTTTTGTTAGTTGAGGGACCTTCGATATCTGGTTTTGCGGTTGGGGGATGATTTTGTAACTCGATGACAAGTTGAGGGACCTTTAGTGTACTTTTCCCTTCCTTGTTTGTGAGCTCACCGAGCTGAGAAATCATAACCCTGTGATTTCACGCGGCCGCCGTCGGCAACCCTTGCGCCGCCGCCGCCGACGACGACGACGCCATGATCCGCCTCCGGGAGCGCATCCTATCTCTGCTCCTCCAGCCAGCATCCCCTCGCCCAATCGCCGGAATTTTCCCGCCGCCTTGCCCCCTCCGCCGCCTCCTCTCCACCACCGCGCCAGTTTCCCCCAAACCCTTCGCCGTCGACGAGTACCTCGTCGCCACCTGCGGCCTCACCCGAGCCCAGGCAGCCAAGGCTTCGGAGAAGCTCTCCAACCTCAGGTCCCCCTCCAATCCCGACGCCGTCCTCGCCTTCCTCTCCGACCTCGGCCTCTCGCGCCCCGACGGCATCGCCGCCGCCGTCGCCGCCGACCCAAGGCTGCTGTGCGCCGACGTGGGGAGCAGCCTCGCCAGGCGCGTCGACGAGCTCGGCGGCCTGGGCCTCTCCCGCTCCCAGATCGCGCGCCTCCTCCCGCTCGCCGGCAGGTGCTTCCGGAGCAGCTCCCTCGCCACAAGGCTCGCCTTCTGGCACCCGGTGTTCGGCTCGTTCGAGAATATCCTCAAGGCGCTCAAGATGAACGCCGCCCTCCTCGGCTCCGACCTCGACAAGGTGGCGAAGCCGAACCTGGCCTTCCTCGCGCAATGCGGGATAAACGCCTCCGATGTCACTCGCACAACCTTGTCCCTGTACTCCTGCCGGCTCTTCACCGTGAACCCTAGGTTCCTCCAGGACGCTGTGGCAAGAGTGGAGGAGTTAGGCGTGGCCCGTGGTTGGAGGACGTTCCACCGCGTGCTCAGTACAGTGGCTTTCTTAAGCAGGGAGACTATTGCCAGTAAAATGCAGCTGCTGGATGATCTTGGGTTTTCGCAGGATGATTTCCTGGTAATCGTAAGGAGGGCGCCACAAGTGCTGCGTTTATCCGATGGAAGGATACGGCGATCTGTTGAGTTCTTGATAAGGGATGTCGGTCTGGAGCAAAGCTACATCGCACAAAGGCCAACGTTGTTGGCGTATAGCCTTGAGCGGCGGTTGTTGCCTCGGCATTGCTTGCTCAAGGTCCTCAAGGCAAAGGGATTGCTGAACTGTGACTTGTCTTACTACTGCATAGCCGCGATGAGCGAGGAGAAGTTTGTGCAAAGGTTTGTGGATCCTTTTAAGGACAAAATTCAAGGCCTTGCTGATGCTTATACCTCCAGTTGTTCTGGGGAAGCAAATGGAGTTCGTTCATTGGTTTGCCTGTAGACTGAAATTGGATGATGTTAAAGTTTATGCTGGGAAATTTGGCTAGATTGTTGCACAAGAATGCAAAATATTAAGGTTTGTGATCCCTTATCATTTTGTACTACCTTTGTTAAAACTTGTGCTGAAAAAGTATGTAGGTTATAGTTGTATGCTACATGTTGTATCTTGTAGCTCTGGAGATTCAATTGCAAAGATTTAATGGCAATGGGTTAGGAACAAAAATGTATTGTCCTGCTGGACTGAATCTTTAGACTTCCACAATTCATTTAGCACCTGTCAAGAATATTTCTATAGATCAAGTGTTGCAAAATGGATAGGAACGACCAGGTTAGGAGTACTTCTTGTTCAACATTCCATCTGTGATTTGGCGGCAACCATGACGTTCTAAATGACTTAAAAGGGTAATATGGGCTACAACTGTGTTGGGACTTGTTTTGTTCTCTATGGCAGGATTGTCGTTAAATGTAATTGATTTGTGGCTAAACGGAGCTACAACCTTGGCACCACGCTGAGGCTAGGTATGCAGGGGATCTGTGATTATTTGCCACAGCTCACACATCATGTGCCTTCCTAAAGTGGATCTCATGGTGCTCTAGGTGGAGCTTGAATTGCCCTTTCCTGACACCTTACTCCCTGCTTCTGCTTGAACATTTTGATGAGGTGAAGGATCATTTCCTACCCTGTGCTGCTACCCTGCACCTGCCATTTTGTCTCCCTGTGCATTCTCATGCTGTTGTCATCTATTGTCGTAAGTCTTAGCCGTAAAACATTAGGATAACATTGTGGCCCTAACTTCGCTCTGTTTTAAACTTAAATAGGAGTAGATAAAAAAGAAGGATACGCTGTTTCCAATGCGATATAATCTTCTGGATACACTGATGCTATTTCTTGCAAGAATTTGTTGACACCAAATCTTGTAGGAGTATTTCTCTAACCACACTTCTTTCCTGAGATTGCATCTTCATATATGGAGTTCCTGACAAACTTAGATTTTTTTTCTCTTGTCAGCAGGTGCACATCAGGAACAGGAAGTGGGCTAAGGGCTTTCTTGCAGCTACCAACGACAGCGGCACTAACACCAGGCGGCATTCGTCGACACACTGCATTTCCATTTCACCCTGTATTTGTTCCATTCAGTTCCCTATTATTTGTTCCATTCAGTTCCCTATTGATTTTGTGGCCAAGATCATCGTCGTAGGTTGTGATTTGTGAATATCATTGTTCTCACGCAATTTCTGTCTTGTTTGTTCTGATTTGGCGTCCAAGATGGATGAATTCGGACCATCAGTTTTACTCTCGTTAACAAAAGAGGCCCACCAAAGAATTCAGCCCACCTTCGGCCATGGAGTACTTCGGCCCGGATTTGAATTCGGCCAGTTAATTCCTCTCAACGAGTTTGGCCCACCAACAAATTTGTTAATGGGCTTAAATCTGGTCATTGACGATGCTTAATTGGCCCAATCATAATGTCCACTGGGCCCATCACTCCAACTCCAAATGGGCCCAATATTAGAGGAGTTTCTTTCCGCCGGCTTCGATCTGAGCAAGAGTAGGCGTAGCCCTGCGATTTCACGCCGCCGCCGGCACCTGGCAATCCTTGCGCCGCCGTCGCCGCCATGATTCAATTCCGGCGGCGCATCCTCACTCTGCTCCTCCAGCCAGCATCCCCTCGCCCCATCGCCGGCATTTTTCTGCCTCCTTGCTCCCTCCGCCGGCTCCTCTCCACCACCGCGCCCGTCTCCCCCAAACCCTTCGCCGTCGAGGACTACCTCGTCGCCGGCTGCGGCCTCACCCGAGCCGAAGCAGCCAAGGCTTCGGCGAAGATCTCCCACCTCAGCTCCCCCTCCAATCCCGACGCCGTCATCGCCTTCCTCTCCGACCTCGGCCTCCCCCGCCCCCAAATCGCCGCCGCCATCGCCGCCGACCCGAGGTTGCTGTGCGCGGACGTGGAGAAAAATCTCGCCAAACGCGTCGGCGAGCTCGGCGACCTGGGCTTCTCCCGCTCCCAGATCGCGCGCCTCCTCCCGCTCGCCGGCTGGTGCTTCCGCAGCAGCTCCCTCGCCACCAACCTCGCCTTCTGGCTCCCGGTCTTCGGCTCGTTCGATAAGATCCTCAAGGCTCTCAGGATGAACAAAAACCTCCTCAGCCCCGGCGTCCAGAAGTCGGCGAAGCCGATCCTGGCCTTCCTCGAGCAATGCGGGATCAATGCCTCTGATGTTGCCCGTAGTTCAACCATGTACTCCAGCCGGCTGCTCACCGCGAATCCCGAGTACCTCCGAGACGCCGTGGCACGGGTGGAGGAGTTGGGCCTGGACCGCAGTTCGAGGAGGTTCCACCGTGGGCTCGTTGCGGTGGCTTTGGTAAGCAAGGAGACTGCTGCGAGGAAGATACGATTGATGGAGGAGCTTGGGTTTTCGCAGGATGATCTGTTGGTGATCATGAGGAAGTTGCCAAACTTTTTGGCTTTATCCGAGAAAAAGATACGGCGAGCTGTGGAGTTCTTGAAGAGGGATGTTGGTTTGGAGGGACGGTACATTGTGCAAAGGCCAGTGTTGTTGTCGTATAGCCTTGAACGGCGGCTGTTGCCTCGGCATTGCTTGCTCAAGGTCCTCAGGACAAAGGGATTGCTGAATAGTGAGTTGGATTACTACTCCACAGCTGCATTGAGCGAGAAGAAGTTTGTCAACAAGTTTGTGCATCCTTATGAGGACCACATTGCAGGCCTTGCTGATGCTTATGCCTCCGGTTGTTCTGAGGAAGGAAATGGAGTTGCTTCATTGCTTAGCCTGCAGACTGAAATGGATGGTGTTCAAGTTTATGCTGGGAAATCTGGCTAGATTGTTGCACTGGTATGCAAAATATTAAGGTTTGCTACCGTTAGTTTGTCTCGTACTATCTATGTTGAAGCTTGTGCTGAAAAAGTCTGTAGGTTGTTTGTTACTTGTTGTTTCTTGCAGCTTGGGAGATTGAGAATGGCGAAGATTTTCTTGTTAGGAAAAAAGAAGGCATTGTGGTATTGGGCTGAAATCTTCAGATCAGGAAATTTCCTTGGAAAAAAATGAATAGCTCACATACCATTTGACTGAAAATATAGAACACAGATGTGGAATTTAGCACATGACTAGAATATTTCTATAGATCAAGTGTTTCAAAATGGATAGGAAATGGGCAGGTTAGGAGTACCTATCAACAATCCACCTGAGATTTGGTTGCAACTATGACAGGAACGTGCTCAGAATATAATCTTGTTGGGGGATATAATCCAAACATTGCAAATAATTTGGAAAGGTAATATGAGCTACAGCTGTGTTGGGGCGCTTTTTTTCTTTTGGGTTCTCTTTGACAGGACTATTGTCAAATGATATTAATTGATTATGCTGGGGCTAACAATGCTGGAGAGGTGTGAATGAGCTGAGCTGCCACAAATCACACGACACATATTGCTCCTTCCGGTGGAGCCAGAAATGCCCCTTCATGGTTGATCCTTGCCTGATGCTGCTCTACCTTCTCGATGCGCTTATGGATCATTTCCTACCCTGTGCAGCTGTGCTGCTCAGCTGCTTCTGCCATGATGTCTCCCTGTGTTTTCTGGCTGCTCACCATTGCAAGAATACTGTTCGACGACTAGCTGACCCATGTTCTTCTAGCTGTGCCGGCAAAATACCTAATGAACTATATTAGCAGTTGTTCTAAAATATCATATTAATCCAATTTTCAAGTTTGTAATAATTAAAACTCAATTAATCACACGTTATTACCACCTCGTTTTACGAGAAACACTTAAACTTTATCTTCAACTTCATCTTCAGGAGATTCAAACACCATCATACATTCATACTATAATCATTTTGCAAAAAGAAAGAGAATCATGTTATACCTATAAAAGTCAATCTGCTAATTCAATGTTACTGGACTCTATTTATTCAGCCATTTGGAATTCTTTCGATCAAACATTCAAACCGTGCTCAATTTCTCTCTCTCTCTCTCTCTCTCTCTCTCTCTCTCTCTCTCTCTCTCTCTCTCTCTTCTTTTTCTTTTCTTTTTTTACAAAAAAAAAACATCAGCCGCTGCCCGTCCAAAAATGCAGGCCTTCGCCCAACGGGCTACAATTGCGGCCCAACAACTTTTAAGGCCATATCGAAACTGCAGTATTTGCACCCTAGTCTCTACTAGTCGTAGCTTGCGATTTCACGGCGGCGGCGGCGCCGCTTCCTCCTCCTCATCCACCGCCACCGCCGCCGCCGCCATGATCCACCACCTCCAGCGCCGCATCGTTTCGCTCCTCCTCCTCCACCCAGCATCGCCTCACCCCGTCGCCGCCATCTCTCTCGGCCGCCTCCTCTCCACCACCGCGCCCGTTTCCTCCAAACCCTTCGCCGCCGAGGACTACCTCGTCGCCGCCTGCGGCCTCACCCGAGCCCAAGCAGCCAGGGCTTCGGAGAGGATCTCCCACCTCAGGTCCCCCTCCAAGCCCGACGCCGTCCTCGCCTTCCTCGCCGGCCTCGGCATCCCGCGCCCCGACATCGCCACCGCCGTCGCCGCCGACCCGAGGCTGCTGTGCGCCGGCGTGGAGGGAAACCTCGCCAAGCGCGTCGCCGAGCTCGGCGACCTGGGCATCCCGCGCTCCCAGATCGCGCGCCTCGTCCCCCTCGCCAAGATCCCCTTCCGCAGCAGCTCCCTCGCCACCAACCTCGCCTTCTGGCTCCCGGTGTTCGGCTCGTTGGACAGCATCCTCAGGGCCCTCAGGAAGAACTCCTCCCTCCTCAGCGCCAACCTCGACAAGGTGGTGAAGCCGAACCTGGCATTCCTCAAGCAATGCGGGATAGATGCCCGTGATGTTGCCAGCAATCCAAACCTGTACTCCAGCCGGCTGTTCACCTCGAATCCCATGAAACTCCGGGACGCCGTGGCGCGAGTGGAGGAGCTAGGCATGGTCCGCGGCTCGAGGGTGTTCCACCGTGGGCTCGTTGCGGTGGCTTTCCTAAGCAAGGAGGCTGTCGCGACGAAAACACGGCTGCTGGTGGAGCTTGGGTTTTCGCAGGATGATGTTTCGGTGATCTTCAGGAAGATGCCATCCTTCCTGACCGCATCCGAGAAAAGGATACGGCGAGCCGTGGGGTTCTTGAAGGGGGATGTTGGTCTGGAGGAACGGTACATTGCGCGAAGGCCGGTATTGCTCTTGTATAGCCTTGAACGGCGGCTATTGCCTCGGTATTACTTGCTCAAGGTCCTCAGGACAAAGGGATTGCTGGATTGCAAGCTGTGTTACTACTCAACAGCCGCACTGGGCGAGAAGAAGTTTATAGAAAGGTTTGTGCATCCTTATGAGGACCACATTGCAGGCCTTGCTGATGCTTATGGCTCTATTTGTTCCGGGAAAGTAGCAAATGGAGTTGCTCCATTGCTTGGTTTGTAGACTGAAATTGACGGATGTAAAAGTTTCTGCTGGGGATTTTGGCTAGATCGTCGCACAGGAATGCAAAATATTAAGGTTTGTGGACCCTTGGATCATCTTGTACTATGTTAAAGCTTGTGCTGAAGAAGTATGTAGGAGTAGGTTTGTTACTTTTATCTTGTAGCTCTGATGGTTGAGGATGACAATGGTTAATGGCAATGGATTTGGAACAAAAAAGCATTAAGATTTTATTTCACGGACTAAACCAACACTGGCTGATCCAAGCTGTTGGGCTGAAATATTCAAATTGGGAATTTGCTTTGAAAAATAAATGGTAGCACATGTACTCTTGACAGAAAATATAGAAGATTACCACAACTTAACACATTCCAAGGATATTTCTGTAGTACTTTCTGACCATCCACATTAGATTTGGTAGCAACTATCGCAGGAATGTGCTCAAAATACAGTCGTGTTGGGGCTTTAATTCAAATATTTTCTGATAAACCAGGTGGCCAAACATGAGTGGAGCCATGCTGGGGCTGTTCTTGTTTTTTTTTTCTCTTTGGGATGACAATTATCAAATGTGATTGAATTGTAGGCTAACATGAGTTACAGGTTGACAATCATATGGGGCTACGGGGTTCCTGCCATGATGTCTCCCTGTGCATTCACTCTTTGATGATGTGCCCAATTTTGAAGAGAAACACACACCAAAGAAGTTGCATTTGTGATTGTTTGCTCAAAACATACCCCATTTCCTCAATTTGAATTTCCATTTGGCCCAAGCGTAAAGCAAACCTATGAACTATGAAGTGTATGCAGCGGGATATTATTTATCCCAAAGCATGAACCAGGAATGCATTACTGACAATGAGCCACCACACGTTCAGGAAAAAAAAATGTTGTATAGCCTGCTGATAATCACAAAACGGACAAAGGGCACACTTAGGAGATCAATCTGTTTCATTTTGGCAGAATCTTTGGTGAGAACTGCATTGCAATTAATCATCCATGTAAAATTTCTGACTGTTCTGCATTGATCGCTCCAAAACGCTTGTATTTTATACACGATGAGCGCAGGCCAACGCATTGCTTTACCTCTGTCAGAACACAAGAAACTGGATGAGCTCCAACTTAGTTCAGAAGAATTAATTAAATCCAATTTGGTTTTGATCAAGTTTATAGAAAAAGTAGCAACATCTACAACACCAAATTAGTTCCATTAGATGTAACATTGAATATATTTTGATAATATGTATATTTTGCGTTGAAAATATCATTATATTTTTCTATAAATCTGGTCAATTTTTTAAAAAATTGACTAGAGAAAAAGCCAAAACGAGTATGAAGAGGGAGTAGGGTTTCTTTTTTTTCTTTTACAGGAGTAGTTTTGTTTTAGGCTGTGTTTAGATCCAGCGGTGAAAATTTTTACCGTGTCACATCGGATATACGTACACACATTTAAAGTATTAAACATAGACTAATAACAAAACAAATTATAGAATCTGTAAGTAAACCGTGAGACGAATTTATTAAGCCTAATTAATTTGTCATTAGCAAATGTTTACTATAGCAACACATTATCAAACCATGGAGCAATTAGGCTTAAAAGATTCGTCTCGCAAATTAGTCACAATTTGTGCGGTTAGTTATTTTTTAACATATATTTAATACTTTATAGAGGTGTTCAAACGAATTTTAGGGTGGGATCTAAAGATGGCCTTAAAGGAGAAACAAACGTGAGAACTGGAAGGCCTAGGCCTTTTTCCAAATTAAGCCCAGGAGTAGATGTCGGAAATGTCGAAAAGGCCCATCTACAGTATACACACCGTCTCTCTCGGAAGTCTGGAAGCAAGCGAAGCTCCGGTTTCAAGCGGCGGAGCGCCGCCGCCGGCAACCGCCGTGACGCCATGATTCACCTCCGGAGGTGCGTCCTTTCTCGCCTCCTCCAGCCACCGTGCCTCACCGCCGCCACGCACGCCAATTCCCTCCTCTCCCTCCACCTCCGCCGCCTCCTCTCCGGCGCCGCCGAACCCTTCGCCGTCGAGGACTACCTCGTGGAGTCCTGCGGCCTGACGAGAGCCCGCGCGGAGAAGGTCTCCGGGAAGCTCTCCCACCTCAGGTCCCCCTCCAAGCCCGACGCCGTCCTCGCCATCCTCTCCGGCCTCGGCCTCACGCGCCCCGACATCGCCGCCGCCGTCGCCTCCGACCCAAGGCTGCTGTGCGCCCGTGTGGACAGGACGCTGGATGCCCGCGTCGCCGAGCTCGGCGGCATCGGCCTCTCCCGCTCCCAGATCGCGCGCCTCATCCCGCTCGCTCGCGGCGGATTCCGCATCAAGTCTCTTGGTTCAAAGCTCGCCTTCTTGGTCACAGTATTTGGCTCATTCGACAGGTGCCTGGAGGTTGTCAGGATGAACTGTGGGCAATTAAGCCGGGAACACGTCTATTTGCTCTCGCAGTTGTGAAGTTTGCAATCCTCAGCCAGGGGAAGATCACCAAGAAATCAGGGCTGTTTAAGAAGCTTGGATGGTCACAGGAAGATTTGTCATTAGCAGCGAAGAACATGCCAAGTATCCTTGCCATGGGTGAGAAAAGGTTGAGGCAAAGAATGAAGTTCTTGACGGAGGATGTTGGTCTAGAGATACCATACATTGCACAAAGGCCTGCACTCATGTTTTATAGCATTGAGCGCCGCTTATTGCCAAGGCATTGCTTGATCAATGTTCTCAAGAGGAACGGATTGCTTAAGATCAATTATGACTTCTATTCTACTGCCTTGATTAGCAATGAGAAATTTCTGGATAAATTCGTGCATCCTTATGTGGAGAGTGTTCCAGGCATTGGTGATGCCTATGCTTCTAGCTGTGCTGGATGTGGAGTGGACCAGTTGAAGCTGTTATCGAAGAATAAGATAATGTGCTGAAGCTTCTTCTATTAACACCCACAAGCTGGGACAATTTTTAGGTTAGTTATCAGTTTGGTTTTTTTACTTCTAGAGCCAAACGAAATTGAGCTTTGCTCTCGACAAGCCAAACTGAGATTCAGGTCTCGATTAAGGATGTCACTATGCCAATCAAAGACTGAACTTTCTATTAAATGGATTTATCTATAAATCTTTATGAAGTGAGCTGACGTATTTTCTAGCACTAAGTCGATTGAATTGTTATAGTTCTGTCACTGTTGCTCTGATTTATATGGCTCAGCAACAGTGTTTAATATTTAGGGATCAAACTCTCTTGTTTTTTCTGTTGCCTTGTTCCTTAGTTATGTGAGGTAAATTTGATTTAGTTTATATGTTCTGGGAAACTCACTGTTGCAAATGCTTGAAACTTGTCCTCTTGATGTAGAGTTCTGATCCTAAAAAGTTGCTTTTGTGTTACTACTCAAAATGATCTGGGAAAAGATTGATGTGTACTCCACAATACACAACTTGGACAACAACACCACAACTGGAGGTCTGGACAAGACAATTGGGTGTTGAACAACAGTTCATTTACTACAGTCTACAGTTTCTAGGATGCCATCCAGTAACACCATCTGCTATGCTGTTTGAACTTTCGTGATCTAAGTATGTTCCATCTTTTTGATAGCGTCCTGCAATTTTGTGCATTGGAGCAAATTCTAGTTTCTTTCACTTGTTACTACAAATTTATCCTTGAAGAAGACATGTTAATGATTTCGTCTTGGATATCTAACAAATGAATGGTGCTGTCGCATTGATTTTTATTGTTGCTAATAGCTGGCAGAAAATGCTATCAACAAGGGGCAGTTAACAATTCAGAAATAATAATAAAAAGGAAATTGATTTTAAGCATTGCTGAGATATGGTCCAAATTCAATACTGTTGGTAGTGAGTCATCTAAGTAAACCCAAATTTGTGACTTTTGTGAAATTATTGATAACATGGATTTTTTTTGTCATTTGTCTTTCTTTGGAAACATCTAAAGAATGAGGTCAGGTCACCATCATAAGGTAAGCTTGAGAAGTTGAGAGCAGCACCAATTCAAAGGTTCTAGATGGTTCATGCATTTTTGGTCAGTATCTATTTTATTGACAGTTAAAATAGTTGGTTGAGGCCTTGAGGGATGCTTCTGGTGTTCGTATTGCCTAACAGAATTCCCTATTTGGTTCCTGTTACTGTTATGACCCTAGCTGCCTGCTTTGCGGTCAAAGATTTTGCTTTATTTTGTTCAGACATCAAAGTTGAAACTTGAAAGTTAACAGCTGGTTTCCATTTCTACGTAATTTACTGTTTCGAGTTTGTAGTAACTTTATTTATAAATCACCAAATCGGTGTATGTGTGTGCCTCGGTCCGATATCAGGATGGTTGGTGTGTTACCTTGAAAAATAGTTCACCTATTCATGACATAATTGGGTGTTCTTTTAGAATCTTAGATATACATAATATGGGCATGACCCGTTGCAAAGCACTGGTATATTACTAGTGTAAAGAAAAGCTACACTGATACATACTGCATACTACTATCTATCATACTCCATTATATACTTCCTCCATCTCATTTTAAATGCAGTTGTGAGTTTTTTTTCCAATGTTTGACCGTTTGTCTTATTTGAAATTCTTTTATAATTAGTATTTTTATTGTTAGTAGATGATAAAACATAAATAGTATTTTATGTATGACTTATTTTTTTTCATAAATTTTTCAAATAAGATGGATGATCAAACGTCGGACACGGAAACTTACAACTGCACTTAAAATGAGACGGAGAGAGCATTGTACCGCAACTTCTCGTTTTGTGTGGTACTGCCACCTAGCACATCTATTTCAAGAAAGATTTTCATGTTCAAGTGATCAAGTGACGTTCTCACATCTGAGACAATCTTAGTAATATTTGCAAATTCGATAGGCGGGTACTTCTGAAATTTGAAGACTGTAAACTGAAAAGTTCGGACTGAGTGATAGCCCCCAACAAGATTCATGGAGCAATTGGCTGTAAGCATTGGATGTTTGGATCTATTTGATGCAACAATCCCAACTGTGTGAATTTGTAAACTATAGCTGTGATGCATTTCTTGCAACAAGAGGACTTCTTGAATAGACCAGCGGCTTTGATATACTTTTAGTACTTGGTCATGCTTTTATTATGGAGTTTCCTTCAAATCCGTTGAGCAATGATGGTGGATACTTAGACATGTATTTTCATGAGGTTTAATATCAGGAGATAGTAATTATACACATGTATTAATTACAGAAATTCATCATTGACAATGAGCCATCACACATTGAGATTTTTTTTTTTATGTTGTATGGCCTGCTGATGGTCACAAAACAGACAAAAAGGCACAGTTAGGAGGCCAATCTGTTCCATTTTGGCAGAATATCTATGGCCAAAACAGCTCTGTAATTATTCACACATGCAAAATTTCTTACTTATTGCCATGCATTACCACTCCAAAACGCTTGTCTAGTTCAGTACTTCAATTGCCTGCCGCAATCAGCCCACATCCGAAGATTAGGCCCAATTATGTTCTGATCAATGGATCAAATCCAGTTTACATAATGAAAAAATAGGTATCTTATCTTCTTATCTTAACTATTCTAAAAACATCGTTCTCCTTTCTTCCTAAAAAATCTCCCTCCTTAAAAATACCTTCCAAAAAAAACCTGCTCCCCTTTCTTAAAAAAAACATTCCTAAAAAATTATCGTAATCTAGTTACAGTGTACGAACAAGTAATTGGCATAAGCGGCTGTTTGGTGCACATGGCGCAGCAGCTACACCAACAATACCAGCATTAAAAAAAATGAATCCGTTGCAGCAAAGCCCCACTACAAAGAGGTAGGCACAGGTGGCGATGACGGTAGTGGTAGGGCGGTGCTTGTGGCACCCACACGGTTAAGGAAGGTGATAATAGGAAGGCTGGCCCGACCGACGGCACGGGAGGCCAACGGTAGGGAGGCCGGCGTGCTTATGGCAGGGATGCCTAGCGAGGGGGGGGGGGGGGCAGAGGATGGCCGGTGCTAGAGCATTGGCCTGTTAACTGCGGGTTGATAGGGGGCGGACAACAGGTGTAAAATCTCACTCGGCCTTGCCAGGCCGGCTACGACGGCGTTTTAGGCGTCGTTTTTTCTCTGGGGGCCGCGATCGAGCCGCCCCTCTCCCTCAAGTGGGCTGCTGGGTGAAACCTTGTTTTGGCTCTCCTCAAGACCTCGACGGATGATGGCGTCGGGTTCATCGCCACTTTTTTCTCTGGAGACATCGTCTAGGAGGCCTCCCCAGCTTGTGCGTGCTTCTCTAGATGGATGTCCTCTTATCCTCTCGTGGCAGTGCCCTAGTCAATGCTAGTCTTGTATTTTTTTTCTCTATTCTCATCATAGTGTTTGGACGTTAAAAAAAAAACTATGGATATATGAAACTGGTTTTTCAAAAAGAAACTCAGAGGATTGGAGGAGAGTTAGAATCGGGCGCCCGATCCAAATTGGCAAAAATCGGGTGCTAACGTGCGTGGAAAACCACTTTAAACTAATTTTTCTCTTAAATTATTTATCCAAATAATGATCCGATTGTACCATTAAATTTATTGCAATTAAATCTTCAAAATAAGACCACACATGGATATATTCCGATGAAATTTTTTTTAGCTTATTATTGAATTATTTTTAAATATTGCACGATGTTTCACCAAGTATATCGGAATTGTTTCACTAAGTAGATCGAAAATATTCAATCGTTTAAATCGGGCATTGTTTCACCTTATATAAAAACAATGTTTCAGCAAATAGCGAAAGAATGTTTCAGTTTAGCGCAACATATCTATACATAGTAAAATATTCTGAGCACACTAGGTGGAACAAATTCTCTTAATAGAGAGTTTCCAAACTATATGGGTTATTTGTTGAAAAATAATATTTCGTTCACTGTGATATGTGAGCGTCTGATTTTTACTCCCCGCCGGTCGCGCGAGGATAAGCATTCTCGCAGAGAATTGATCCCACTGGAAGGCCTCGTCCTCGTCCAAATTAGGCCCACAAGTAGGTGTCCGGAGCTTACAAGCGAAGCGAAGCTGCGGTTTCAAGCGGCCGCCGGCTAATCCTTGCGCCGCCGCCGCCCGCCGCCCGCCGCCATGATTCACCTCCGGAGGAGCTTCCTTTCTCGCCTCCTCCATCCACCGTGTCCCACCCCGGCCAATCCCCTCCCCCTCCACCGCCTCCTCTCCAGCGCTGCCGCCGCCGCGCCCATCCCCCCGGAACCCTTCGCCGTCGAGGACTACCTCGTCGACTCCTGCGGCCTGACGAGAGCCCGAGCCAAGAAGGCCTCCGGGAAGCTCTCCCACCTCAGGTCCCCCTCCAACCCCGATGCCGTCCTCGCCTTCCTCTCCGGCCTCGGCCTCTCCCGCCCGGACATCGCCGCCGTGGTCGTCAACGACCCGCTCTTCATCTGCGCCAGGGTGGACAAGACGCTGGCCACCCGCGTCGCCGAGCTCACCGACCTCGGCCTGTCCCGCTCCCAGATCGCGCGCCTCATCCCGGTGGTCCGCAGCCTCTTCCGCTGCAAGTCGCTCGCCCCAAGGCTCGCCTTCTTGCTCACCGTGTTTGGCTCCTTCGACAGGTGCCTCGAGGTTATCAAGACCAACTATGGCGTCCTTAGCTCCAACGTTGAGGCGGTCATCAAGCCCAACCTCGCCGTACTCAAGGAATGCGGGATATCTATAGCGGATAGGCCCTCATACGCGTTCGCATCGCGGGTGATCAGCAGGCCTACTAAGCACCTGGAAGAAGCTGTGGTGCTTGCTAACGAGTTTGGAGCTAAGCAGGGAACTCGGGTGTTTACTAATGCGGTCATGATTTTTGGAATCCTCGGACAGGAGAAGCTCGCCAAGAAGTTGGAGTTCTTCAAGAAGCTTGGTTGGTCACAGGACGATTTGTCATTGGCGGTGAGGAGCATGCCACACATCCTAGCCATGAAGGAAGAAAGGATGCGTCGAGGTATGAAGTTCTTGACCGAGGATGTTGGTCTAGAGATACCATACATTGCACGAAGGCCTGCACTCACGATGTATAGCATTGAGCGCCGGTTGTTGCCACGGCATTGCTTGATCAATGTTCTCAAGGGGAACGGATTGCTCAAGGCCAATTATGACTTCTATAATATCTCTGTGATTAGCAACGATGATTTCATGGAAAAATTCGTGCAACCATATGTGGAGAGTGTTCCAGGCCTTGGTGATGCATATGCTTCTAGCTGTACTGGATGTGGAGTGCACCAGTTGAAGCTGCTCTCAAAGCGTAAGACAAAGTGCTGATGTTTCTTCTAGTAATACCAGCAAGTTGGGACAATTTTAAGGTTAGTTTATCACTTTGATTCATTCACTTCAGGAGCCAAATGAAATTGGGCTTTGCTCTCAACAAGCCAAACTAAGATTTGGTCTTGATTAATGGTGTCACTATGCCATTCAAAGACTGAACTTTCTATTAAATGGATTAGATGAATCTTAATGGATTGAGCTGACATATTTTGTAGCACTAAGTCGATCGAATTGCTATAGACTTTTGTCACTGTTGCTTGGATTTACAGTATATGGTTCAGTAACAGTGTGTTGAATATTTAGGGATCAAATTCCCTTGTTATTTCTGTTGCATTTATTCCATCGTTATCTGAGGTAAATTTGATTTGGTTCTTCCAGGAAACTAAATATAACATATGCTTGAAAGTTGAAACTCGTTTTCTTAATGTAGAGTTCTGATCCTAAAATCTTGTTTTGAGCTATTCCAAATAGATCTGAGAATAGATTACTTTGTACCACACAAATACACGAGAACACGACCACAAAACTGTAGATCTGGAGAAGACAATTGGGTGTTGTACATCAGTTCATTTACTACAGTACAGTTTCTAAGATGCTAGCCAGTAACACCAACCATCTGCTATGGTGTTTTAACTTTCGTGATCTATGTGTGTGCCATATTTTTGACAGTGTGCTGCAATTTTGTAAGAAACTTCCAGTTTCCCTCACGTATTACTCTGAATTTATCCTTGAAGGAGGGATGTCTACAATTTCCTCTTGGATATCTGATGACAAATGAATGTGCTGTCCTATTGATTTTTATTGTTGCTAAATGGCTGGCAGAGATTGCTGTTGACAAATCCAATATTGACAGTAGTGATTGACCTGAGTAAACAGCCCAAATTAGTGTCTTTTAGAAATTATTGATAACATGGATTCTTTCATTTTTCTTTCTTTACGAGCTTCTAAACCATCATAAGGTAGGCTTGAGAGCAGCACCAATCAATAGGTTATACATGGTTCATGGATTTTCAGCCACAGCCTATTTTGTTGATCGTTCAAATAGTTAGTTTTTCGGGGGTGCTTCTGGTGTTATGTAAGACTGTAATGCCTAACAGAACTCACTATTTGGTTCCTGCCTGCTCTGTGGTCAAAGATTCTGCTTTATCTGGTTCAGACATTAAAGTTGAAACAAAGAAATTGCTACATGTTAACAGCTTCCTTTTTCATCTGTTTCAACTTTCAAGTTTGTTTTAATTTCTTCTTTTGTAAATCATCGAATTGGTGTATGTGCGTCCCTTGGGTGTCAGGATGGTTGGATGTATTAGACCTTGAAAAGTAGTTTACTTATTCTTTACGTTATTAGGTGTTCTTTTATAATCTTATGTGCGCCCTTATGGCAAGAGTTTCTGGGCCTGGCTATCAACCTATGCTTCTGCATCTGCTGGACTTGAAATGCTCCAGTTGAAGCAGTTCTTGAAGAACACAAAGGTGAAGAGGATGTTCCGATGCTTCTTCTAGCAGTGTACCAGCAACCGGGAACAATTCATAGGTTAGCTGTTCCCTTCATTTATTCTCTTTAGGAACTAATTATGTTTATGGAAATTAACCTTTGCTATACACAAGCCGAACAGAAATTTCGCAAAGTCTCTTCAAGAATGTCACATGCCAATCAATGATTGAATACTTAATTAGATGCATTAGTTAGATTAATTGCAATGAGGTGAACTGAAGTATCCCTTCTTCTTGCACAAATCTTGTCAGTCTGTTGTTACTCTGTCACTGTTTCCCTCTATTTATGCCATGCAACATTGGATTGTTGAGCATTCAGCAATCAAATTCCATTGCCATTTTTCATGAACTTATTTCCTCTTACTTGAGGTTAATTCAGTGTTCTACTGGAAAATTAACTTTATGAAATGTGAAAGCAAACCCTTTATCGTAGAGTTTTGATCCAAACCCTTATCTGGAGCTGTTCCATACAGATTTAGGAAAATATTTCTGTGTAACACTATCAGGCACAAGTCGCACCACAAAACAAGAGTTTGGAGAAGAGAATTGGGTGTTGGACATCAAGGGATACTAAGGTGTCTAAAGTAGTCTTTTAGTGCTTCTAACTACTCTTAGTTTGAGAAGAGAATTGGGTGTTGGACATCAAGGGATACTATGCTGTTTTAGTTTGAGTCCCTGAATGAAGAGGTCTTCTTTCTGTTAGTTAGCTGCAATTTATTGCAGTGCTGGAACTTCTAGTTTCTTTCACAAATAACCTACTGATATTTATCCTTGAATGTGATGTTTTCACAGCTTCCCTCAGAGTGGAAATTGGACACTTGGCAAAAATTATTGTTTCACTGCATTGATTGTTGTTGTTGCTAATGGCTAACAGTCGCTGCTATGTGGAAATAGTAATGTGCTATTCAGAGATGAGATACTCAATTGAGCCGAGGTCCGTCTTGAGCCAGAGCACTAGCTTCCGACTATTTTCACGGTAGTTGAATCTCTGAACGGTAAAAGTCGTTTATAACTTGACACGGATCAGAACTGAAAGTTCAAGTGCTTCTATGTCCCAAATGATCCCCCAAAACATGAAAATTCATGGTAATTAGCAGGCTGTTTTGTTTATTTAGGAAGGAAACACTTTTGATTGTGACTATAATCATCATGAACAAGTGGGATCCGTGGCGCAATGGTAGCGCGTCTGACTCCAGATCAGAAGGTTGCGTGTTCGATTCATGTCGGGTTCAAAACCCCGGTCCAAAACGGATCTTTTTTTTTTTCCAACGTATTTTGGCAATCAACTTTTTGGTTCTTCAATTCCAGGCAAAGAACTCGACTGCACACGTGAGCCTGCGACCGTACTGGACCAATTTGCGACACTAGTGATCGCGATCGTGATTTGTGAATAATGATGTGCGCTAGTACAAAACACTCCCTGATGCACCTATTAATTTTAGATGCTTGTCGGATTTTCTGACGGGCGTGCAGGTACATCTATATACATTGCATGGTCCAAAAGGACATGAATAGATGCAAGGAAAATATGGCCAGCTTAATTATGGCTAAGATTTCGAGTGAAATTTTAATGTTCTTCACAATATTAAGATGTGTCTCATTCGGTACTAAGTTCTTACATTCTGAGACGGAAGGAATAATTCGGTTCGGGTGATCGATGGTCGAATTGTGGTCTTGTGGCTGCTGTGATCCATGGTAGGTTTGTCGAAACCACGGTGAAAATAGTCAGAAGCTGTCAGGGTTACGGATAAGGCATACCCTCCATCCTACGACTTATGAAATATACCGATAAGGTATACCTTCACGTGTACGGATCGTTTCCGTATACGCCATTAGAAATTTATCTCAAATTATGGAAAATATCTTTATGGGTTAAGAAATTGCCGGAGTCCTACTCAGAGGGGATAAAATCTCTGGTTATATCGTGCTAGTTTACATATCCCTAAATCTTACTTAGGGGTCAAGGCATTCCACTGTGTAAAAAGGACCCCCGGGAGAGGCAAAGGGGATCGCATCTCATCACCTACACACCCACCGAAGTTTACGAAGCCGGAGTACATGGAGCCACCTCGTTGGAAGATCTCGTCGAATCCCTCGACTACGATTTTGTCGGTATTGTCTGTTTTGGTTACTCTCTTTGTAATATGTTCTCATCATCATCAATCCATATAAACTGGACTAGGGCTATTACCTGATAAGGGGCCTAAACCAGTATAATCCTTGTCTTTTGTCTGTTTTGATGTTATACTATGTAGACCTCTGCTCCAACATACCCCAATATTTTATTCATCCGGTCCGCGAGTATCACTCGTCGACAGAAGTTAATAGATAATGGCCTTGTTCAGGATGTCAGGCTGTAGCGCTGCGGTCCTGTATTTTTCTGGATAAGATATACTCCCTTTGTAAAAAAAAGTACAAATAGGATGTGACTTATCCTAGGATAATGAATATAGAGCTCACATCTTATCCTATGTTGTTTTTTTTGGGACGAAGGGGGTAGTTTCTACCTTTGTTAGTATGTTTTTCGAACTACTAAACGATGTGTTTCGTGAAAAAATATATAGAAGTTGCTCTAAAATATCAAATAAGTCAATTGTAAGTTAGTGATAATTAAAACTCAATTAATCATCAAATAAGTCAATTGTAAGTTAGTGATAATTAAAACTCAATTAATCATGTATTAATAGTTTTTTTTATTTTACGTGCCTTTATTTAATCCTCATCTTCATCAAACTAGAACGGGCCTTTCTCGGACATCGGCTCTAAACCTCAAAGTAGTTTTTAGCTTGGGCCATTATACCGTATTGGAACATTGAACGTCCACTCGCATGGGTCACCACAATGCCATGTCTCGTGAATGGAGAGTTAGATGAAGTCTTTGGATGCGGCCACCTTAATACTCGTCCCGTGTCTATGAGAAAATTCAAGAAACGTCAACGACAAGCGCTCCAATTCAAAAAATACGAACATAAATTCTTGAAAAATGCCATCATACAAGTGCCTTCGTTTAAGAGCTATAAAAAGACCATTTTACCCCTATAAATTGTTAAAGATGATTAAAACTTTTACTTTTTCAATCAACTTACAATAATTTAGTGTAAAGAGCCAACTACATCATAGTGTAAGCTAGCAGAAAGAGCAAAATTTTTAATAAAATTTCAACAAATCATAGGGGGTAAAATGGTTTTTTAGCACTTTAACGGAGGGATGCTAATGAAAACCTAAGGATGTGTTTAGCAAATGGGTTATGAGAGGTCTGATTGGGAAATGGAAATTAATAAATAGTTAGGATTAAATGAGGTGTGAAGAATGGATGGCTATGATACAATATTACCCTTTGGAGGGTGGGATATAATTTTTCTATCCCATTTACCAAACAAAGCCTAAGGGTGATATCATTTATGGGATAAATGTGCTTGTAAGATGTCATTTCTATAAAGTTTGGTTTGTCGATGCCATTTCTTGAATTGGGGCACTTGTCGATAACATTTTCTAAAATTTCTTTCTGCGTAGACAAAACTAATTGTTATTTTGGTTTTGTTTAGTTTTGTAGTTATCTAGTTTGAGCACAATCTGTTTTTTTTTCCTTATAGATGTTACATAAGTAGTAGTAAAAAGAAAGGCAACATTAGAACCTTCCCTTTTTTAGTTGAGTTGCGTGACTAGAAGAACGTGTGTGCTATGCTGGTCCAATATATTAAAAGTGTTTATAAATGTAGGATGTGCGTATTTGTAATTTATAAGGATAAGTGTGCGCGTGTGCGCATGTGATGTTATGTTTGAAAATAAAGATATGTTAGAAAAATAGAAATTAACACCCGAGCAAAATTTACTATTCCAAAAATAATCAAAGCTCGCACGCCATTTAACCTTTTTCTTTTTTATGAAAAAAAAGGTCTAACTGATGTCATGAGTTTATCCACTGCCCCTGCCCCCGGGACGGTCAAACACACCTGCCTGGTCCACCGCCACAGACCCACGTGAGCAGAAACCGGGTGGGCCCCACGTCTCGCCAGTTTCTCTCGCCCGCTGTTCCCGCTTCCTACACAGTTTCACTTCCCCCTTGGTCTTGGTCCGTCTCCACTCTCTCCACTCCGCCGCCGCCACCGCTCGTCGTCGCCTCCCCCCCCAAATCAAAAATCAAAATCAAAACCCCCCCATCTCTTCTTCTAGTTTCTTCTAGAAGCCGGGACGAACACCGCGTCGTCTTCGCCTTCGCCTTCGTCGTCTCCCGCTCGCTTCCTCCCTCCTGGGTTAGGTTAGGCCTCCCCCCCTCTCTCTCTGGTTTTGTGCTGATCTCGGAGATCCCGGCTCCAGGTCGAGTGATCCATTTTTTATTTTTTTATTTTGTTTTTTTTGGGTTTCGCTGGGTTTGTGCCAGTGTGTTGTTCTCGTGGATGGTTTGTTTGTTGGGTTCCACCGGATTTTTTTTTTTTTGGGGGGGGGGGGGGGTGGGGCGCTGGAGATGGGGGGATTTATGGTAGGGTTTATCGTCTCGTCTCGTGCGAGTCGGCCCGTCGGTGGGTGGGCGGGATCTCGCGATTCCGTGTTGATTAGTTCGTCTTAAGCGGTTCGGGTGATTTGATGCTCGTACGTGCTGATGAACTGTTTGGGGGCTTGTAGTTTTTTTTCTCTCTCTCTCTTTTAAAGTAATCCCGAGTTTGCCGGGGATTTGAATATCGGTTTCGTGTGTGATTTGCTCTAGAGGGTATGGTTTAAGGTAGAGAAATTTGATACTAACATATGCCATCCAATCCGCGTGCCTTGTGTGTTTTGCCACTTTGATCCGGATGTCTTGGTTAGCCATGGCGTTCCTGCTTGAGCTCACATGGCTAGAGGTTGCGCAAGTAGTACTTGCTCCGTGCGAACGATTCACCATCTAATGGAAATCTGGCGGAAGATTGGATGCATTTGTTAAGTACTGTGTGCAATTAGAATACGTTTGCAATCGTGCTGTACCAGTGTCTGCCCCCCATTATTTATCTGACAGTCTGACAGAGCGTCTTCAGATTTGTGTTAATTGCTCCTGTGGTTGATGAGTCTTTATAGGGTGCAGCATCTCAACTTTATTTCTTTTTAATTGTGGGAAGGGTGTACTCCGTATGGCTGACAGATCGCTGGGGAGTACCTTAATGAATACTCACGAATTTATTATTACTAGCACAGTATGAAGCCTCTGAGTTACTTGAGCTGTGCATAATCTGGGTTGTGTATCGATCACAAGGATCAAATTGGCTAATATGTGTAGTTGTATATTCATAAAAATGATCTAGCATGTATTATCTGTTCGTCACTAAATAACCAAAATTGTTGAGATTTCATTTTCATACCCATCTAAGTTATTTGTCTAAACTGTGTGCGCCTTGTGATTTTGTGAAAATTCTTGTGTGCTAAAAGGAAAATGAAGACCATAATTGCAAATTTATTATGCATATAATTTCTTTCGATTGTTTAAGGCACATGGGAATAACTGCCAACATGCCTTAATCACACTATTTTTTTTTTAAAAAAATGGATAAGGTAGATGATCTTGAGTCTGTTAGTCTTTGTTCTACTTACCATTTATATTCTGTGTATTTGTCTTGCTAAAATAAACTTCACTTTCCACTATCCTGGATGTTTTCTTTCAGTTATTTCTAATATGTCTTGTTGGCCATGCAGGCTGTGCACTGAAGTACTGAACGTTCTTTTGTAGACTGTTAAGCTTATCCTGCATCATGGAGAATGGAGACAAGGATGAGAAAAATGTTGCTGTCACGGAAGGATCTACCAATTC